TGGTGAACTGTTCCGAGCTGCGGTGAACAGAGTGATAACCTATAGTCAATATCTATGGTCAATATGAATGCCAACGTTCGATGTTCGGACAAGGTACTGGAATAAAGAGAAGATCCTAACCAAATGACCATCAACAATACCATCCCACACTTTAACAAATCAAAGTTGCTGATAATTTCGTAATTTCTGATGTGAACATGATGAAGTAGCCAGTGACAGATTTGACCTCTTGGCAGATTACCGATGATCCGCTGCAGAAAACTATAGACAAGAGATAGAACTCGGTTATTTCATATATCAGCTTTGAACAAAGTGGCAGAACAGAAACAAGTGAACCTAGTGTGGAGTTTGACGCCTATTGGGCTTCCACACTCTCCCGGATCGAATTGTCTTCCTTGGAGTGGAGACGGATCCTTGAGTTTGTCAGGAAGACGGGACGCCAGGGTGGCGAAGGTCAGGAGTGCTAAGATGGGGATGGATGGAAGGGGGATGCCGAAATAGGGCCTTTAAGACCTACTCGTCGGACCTCTCGGGTCCCCCTACAATACTATTACTACTACTACTACTACTACTACCACCAGATGTGATTAGTGTCGTTTTGGTTCTTGTCTTTCTTTTTTGCTGTTTTTTATGATATGGAGAACAGACTCTTTGTCGTATAAATTGCGTTTACATTATTAAAGCATGTGAAAACACTTGAAATAACTTAATCAAAAAAAGTAAATAACTGAGCAGTGTAAAAGATGTTAAAATAAAAAATATATAAATACAGGGTGGCCATTTTTTGAATCTTTGTATGGGTAACTTCTACATTTTTAAAGATAGATAATCCGTTAAATGGGCAAAATTGGGCGGAATTCGATTGCCCATTCATTACGGTTTTCAAAATTTAGGTACCCGACTTGGTTCCTTAAAAAAATATTCTGAAAAGACAAGAAATCAACACTTTTTTAAAGATCACATTTTACGTAAACTGCTTAACTTAGAAAAAAAGTTAAAATTGCCCTTGGCAGAACTTTTTGCGATCAAGCCAACAAACTAGCACTCGTTGTCATAGTCAACTTGATTGACGAGATAACAAATAAACTTATTTTTTTTAAATGGTAATCAGAGTTGGCTGTGGGCTTTTTAAAATCTTAATTTTTTTCTGAATTTCAAACTACTACAAAAATAAGTGTCAAAAAGAAAAATCTTTTTGACACTTTTTATGACAGAAGCATTAACCATATCGTGACAATACTTCTAGACGCTTGTTAGTATTTTTCTTGTTCATTTTTACGGTTTAAAAAAGAGATAAATATAGGAACAGTTATATCGTTAAATTTAGAAAAAAATAAGAATTTTAAAAGGCCCACAGCCAACTATGATTGCCATTTTAAAAAAATAAGTTTATTTTTTATCAAATTGACTATGACAACGAGTGCTAGTTTATTGGATTGGATTGGATAAGTTAAGCAGTTTACGTAAAATGTGATATTTAAAAAAGTGTTGATTTCTTGTCTTTTCAGAATATTTCAGGAACCAAGTAGGGTACCTAAATTTTGAAAACGGTAATGAAAAGGCAATCGAATTCTGCCCAATTTTGCCCATTTAACGGATTCCCTATTTTTAAAAAATGTAGAAGTTTCCCATACAAAGATTCAGAAAATGACCACCCTGTATATACATATAAAATGTATACTATTTCGGATAAAAGATATTTTTACTTTTACTTTTTTTACAACTTTTTACGACGTCGGCCTTACTAGTCAAACATCTGACCGATAGAGAGTCGGATGGGATTTTGGTTATAAACTGGTTGCTTGGTTGGCAACTCAATTTCTATGGGTTTCTTTTTGGTAGTATAAATAAGATCGGAGGGGGAAGCGCACTCGAGAAAGTTATTTGACAGAGAATCAAATGAGCCGTAAAAATCGGAAGACTTGAACTAAACAATGTTTGCAGTGAAGTCGCAGTAATAAGTATTTAACTATAAATAACAGTAATCTTCTTCTCCAAGTGCCTCCTCCGCTTTGGAGTTTTGCAATCATCATTGCAATCCATATCTTTGAAGCCGATGGCTGGAGCGAACTGGATGGATTGGCATTTATACCTTCTCTCTCTCCTTAGCTTCTGCCCTTCATAATAAGCTGCAGCAGTTGATACCTCCCTTCTCATGACGTGGCCCAAGTACTCTAGTTTTCGTGGTTTGATGATTAATACCACTCCGCTTCCTTATCCATTCTCCGCATGACTTCGCGTTCGTCACTGTGTCCATCCGCGAGACTCCAAGCAGCCTCCGATAAACCCACATTCAGAAGGCCTCTATTTTCTTCGCATTGGCCTTGTTGAGGATCCACATCTCCATCCCATAGAGGAGCACAGAGAAAATATAGCATCTAACCCGTCGCATCTAAGTAATCCGGGTAAGCATTCGGGTAAACAGCTTAGATGGAGTCCCACACACACCAGAGCGACAGACCACCAGCTCTGGGAGTGCGTAAAAGAGCATTTCCGAAAAAAAAAAAAAAAAAAAACCGTCGCATCTTCAGTTTCAGATTGATACCGTGATTGCCGAGAATGCTTTTCATGTTGATGAAAACGGGTCGTGCTCTTTCAACTCGTATTCTGATTTCCTGAATGAAGTCATTGTTGCTATTGACGCTCATTCCCAAGTTGTCATACTTGTGTATCCGCTCTATGGGGCTACGATGGATGTAGATGCCACCGCTTACTCTCCGTTCATTCGAGATAATCACAAATTAAGTTTTCTTAACACTGAGTATCAGGCCCTTTCCCTCACTTGCTGTAAATAACTTGATTAAAATTGGTTGAAGGTCTTCTAGAGTTCCTGCAATTACGACCGTATCGTCGGCATACCTAATATTATTTATAAGCCTTCCGTTTACTTTTATACCTATCTCTTCTTCATTTAGCGCTTTTTCTATAATCTCTTCCGGGCAAATGTTAAATAGCAATGACATCACGCAACGTTGCCTTACTCTTCTTTTAATTTGGACTTCGTTGGTTATATCAGTTTCATCTGGAACGACTGTTCTCTGGTCATAGTACAGACTCGTTATTCTTCTTATGTCTCGGGTGTCAAGCTGTTTTTTTAGTAAAATCTCGACAAGTTGGTCTCGTCTCACGTTATCGAATTCTTTATTATAGTCTACATGTACATACATACATATCCTGGTTTACATCTAAACTCCTCTGAACTAAGATATTAAAAGCGAAAAGTGCTTCTCGAGTTCCATACCCACTTCGAAACCCAAATTGTGTTGCTCCGATCTTTTCCTCCAATGTGTATTCTATTATGGATAATTTTGAGGAAAATCTTCAGTGTGTAGCTCATCACAGTGAAGATTGGTGCACAAGTGCGATAGTCGCTGCATTGGGTGACATGTGCTTTTTTCGGTAGGATAACAAACGCCGACATCAGCCAGTCTTGCAGTATTATCAGTATTATGCTGGATTTACAGATTTTGTTGAATAAGTTCGCTAGTGRATCTATCTTCTCTGCCAGTATCAKCTTCAGTAGCTCTAATGGTATCTCGTGTGGCCCCGGTGATTTCTGGTTCTTCGACGAWTTGATAGCATGAATCACTTCTTCCTCGGTTATTCTTGGTCCTGTCTCCYCTTGTAAGTTTTCAAAGCATATTCCCCTGCTGATCTTTAAGTATGAACGGTTGTTTTCTGTTATTGCCACCGCTAAGTTCTTTCACTGTCTTATGCATATTGAATAAGTCATATTTAGTTGCAAGTTCTTTGATTTTCGTACATCTGTCCTCCAGCCATTGTTTTACTTCGCGGATCTTCTTCTTAATTACAATATTGACTTGTTTGTGTTGATCTTTATCTTTGTCCTTAAATGTTCTTCTCGTACTCATGAGTTTTAAGATTTCATCAGTCATCGAATCTTTTTCCTTCTTTGGCTTGTCCTTTTCCAGGTGTTTTTTGCCGGTCTTAACAGAGRTTCCTTAAGTTTGTTCCAATGTCCATCATTATCAAGGTCTGTTTCATCAATTTCTCTCAGGTTTTCTTGAATATCTCTTTCTACTTTCTGTTTCGYAGTTTRTTTTTTGAAGCGATTAAGGTCGATTTGTTTTTTCTAAACTCCTRATTCAATTCTTTTCARCCTTATTCGGAATTGGGCGCCCAATCCGATGGTCATGATGGTTGTGATCTGACTCTATATCCGCTACTGGGGAAGATTTAGTCTATTTGATTTCTTATGACATTGTTTTCTGAATCCCCTGGTGCCTTCCAGATGTACAGGCGTCTTTTATGCAGTTTATCGAAAGCAGTTTTAATGACAAGTTTTTCCACAACGTATTGCCTATCTTCGCGTTCAAATCTCCCATGAGTATAGCGATATCTCTTGATTTGGTAATTTTAAGAGCCTGTTCAATCGTCTTTTTTCAGCAGTAGGTGCGTATACCTGGATCAAATTCAGTTTTTCTTGAATGATTAGCAGTTGCAGAAGCATGACCTTTTCTGATCAAGGGAGAAATTTTGTCTCATCGGTTTATCCCTCCGTCGACCTTAATTGCCACCCCATGGCTGTGATGGTTATCAGCCCTGCCTGAGTAGTACATCGTGCTCCTCGGAGTTAGACGTACATTGTGAATAAACCCTGAGTCCTAAGATATTTATCCAAAGCCTGTTCATCTCTTCACTGGCTTTAAGCAATTTTCCGGCTTCAATGAATGGTTCTCACATCCCATGTTGCTACTCAAAGTGKTRTGTTGTGAATTTTGAAGGRATTTCGCTGGATGACGCCCGACAAGSCCCTTTCTCCCCCCCTGCCCGATCTTAGTGTTCGCTGCCCATTATCAGCAGMATTTTGCAGTAGATTTTGTCTTTTCATGATTATTTTTACYAGAGATCTTAATGATGTGGTTTCCCCTTGCCTTCCTCCTACTGCAGTATCACAACCGGTTGAGTTTTCAATATATGGCATTCCCCTATTCGCAACYTGGGGACACGCCCGATAGGGGACTAGCAAAACCCACATAGAAAGAATATATCAAATAATTTATTGTTTCCAAAAATAYGCAATTTCAGTAAAGCTCGAATTTTGTAACAGTATTGTTAAAATATTTTATGAAGACATTTGTGAGATACATTTACATGAAAATGGATGCRAAATTTCAAAATTCCACACGTATTTGCTGAAGAAATTTCTTAAAAGGACCTTTTTTATATTTTCAGCTATTATTATGAGTAAAACATATTTCGGAAGAACGGGTCCACAATATAATAGCTATGACTCTGAATTATTGTTAAAATCTAAGATTGTAAAAGTATCTACAGTAATATACATAGTTTTCTAGCGTGCAACCCAAAGTGTACTTTATAAATATTAAGATTTTCTAGATTTGTAGCTTAGTTTTAGCATCTACTGCTAAGCGATTGGAACTGTATTTTAAAACTAGTGTCTTGTTTATTCCTACTGTGTTATAAACAGAGTTTCAACATAATCTGTGGTTTCCATTCTTTCCTTTGACATAGTATTTGAGCAAATAGTTTCCAATACTTTCGTGTGGACTCGACGAAAATTTTTGATATTGGTGCACATTCTAAAATTAGTTTTCAATGTAGATGGTGCGTCAAAAACCTGTGTTAGTTACCGAATATTGTTTTCTAAATAAAACCCGTCTTTTTTAATACTTTCGGATTTATCTCCCACCTTTACCGTTAGTTAATTTGAAATATCTTGACTGGAAATTTGCCATATTATGGAATAACCAAACCATTTTTCCTATATTTCTAGTTTATTTTTTAGAATAACTTTATCTAATGTACACCAAAATATTTAAACTTTCGGTCTCTGCCTTGAGTAACATTTAAATACTTTTTAAAACGTATTTTTTTGTCACGCGTAAAAGCCAATAAATGTTACTTATCCCCTTCTTGCATCAGGGTTTTCAATCTCAAATCAGGCTCAAACCACTAATTTATACAAAAACTTTAAAGTATCATTCAGAACTTAGATGACATCACCAAATGATTCATAGCGTATATTTGAAGAATCATTATAACTAAGGAAAATATGGTGCTAATCTACGTAGAAGATCAGAAATTACTTTTGTTGCCTCCCTTGTGTGGTGCCTGTAACAAAAAAAAAACGTTGAACGAAGCAGTAACTTTCGCCCACTMAAAAGGGGCTGATTTGAGCGGTTCAGTGAGGGCAAGTGGTTTTCATAGTTCAGCTCAAAATAGCGTATATAAATTGTGATCATCATGACAAAATCTGTTGGCAATTCTTTAGCAGCTTTAACCAACACTTACCTTGGTCAGTGCTGTTGCTGATGGTTCTCAATGTTACCCAGCTCCACCACCTGGAAATACAAAATGGTTCTTAGTTAAACCCAAACTAGGGCAGGTTGAGCTTGAAAGTGGACAAAATTGCTCAGATACCTGAGTTATCATCAACTTTTTTATGATAGGGATAACTAAATAACATCATGTAAAACCCGAGTGGACATTTGCGGAAAATTGACTACACTTACCCGCAAAATTAGGAGGAATTCAGTCCGGAACCCTCGATTGACTGGATACTACTGGACAGAGAACCTGCAAAAGAATTCCCATTAGTATCGCCGCATCACACCTTTCCTTGCTAGTTATAAACTAGATTAATCAGATACCAAGATCTCATCAATTGTTTTTATGATAGGGATAACTTAATTTGCATCACGTCACTTCGCGTTTGTTTAAGAGTATAGAAAAGTGTTCCTTTACGCACCTTTTTGGGTCTCCGACGAAGACTCAGTGTCTCCATTCTCCCACACCTGAAAATAAACATTTTTGAGTTGAAAAACTGGTCTTGAAACACGCAAAACTGTTGTGCTGTTTGGGACAAATTAGTTTAAAAAGCAGCCAAAAGTTATAATCACTGCAGTGTATCAGACGGTAATTTTTTTCATCATTTTCCAGCAATTCAGGGGTAATTAACACAAACTAAGCGCTCTTACCTAGTTAGTCTCTGCAGTCTTCACTCATTGCCCATTCTAGGCCGGGAAACTCCTAAAACAAACTCGTTTAGTACTGCGGTCTCCCAACCAATACTTTGTGAGACCATTTGAAGTCAATCAGCAAATAAATGCAGCCGAAAGTTATAATCATTCGACTATCAGACGGTAATTAGTGTCATCATTGTGCTGTTCAACATCCAAACTTCTGAGCCATTGCAACTCACCTTTCAACTACGCCAGACCTGCAACAGATGAAAATTGAGAGAAATTCTATTGGATTGTCCAAAGGCTTGGCAAAATACATTCAATAAATCAGTATATAAAATTATCAACAACGGTTTGTTCAGGTTTCAAATGTCTTAGGCCTCATCTAATGAGTGAAGCGATTGAATGCCTGAACGTGGTGAAAATGCTTACCTGCAGCAATGAAAGCGCCTCCACGTGCGAAGCTCCTTTGGAGTCCTGCAAAAAGAAACCCAGTTATTTCAAAGAAAACATCCAGAACTGTATGAGCAGACTTTACAAAGGATAATCAGCGGAAAGTATCAACAGAACCTTCAGTCATATGCTTGTCTATGTAAATCATCACGAATTTGGGGGCAAATGGGGGTGCTGGTGTTCTTTAAGGCTCCCAGAAATCCAGCGCAAAACCCGGTCCTTTATTCAAAATGGCGTTTTTAGGTTAACATTGGTGCAGCATCATAAGTGCGGTCTAAAGTATTTGATTTTTTTTTAATTCTGTCTCAATCTACTCGCTTTTTTGTGGCGGCAAATAAAATGAATAACGTTTTACACAGAAAAAAATTATTCCAAAATGTTTCGCGAAAGATTTGATAATACAGGTTATGATGAACACAGGCAAGGGATGAAATAAGTGGCATCATCGCAGTTGTGAGTGGTGTGATTTCGGGAAAGCAATTTTCAAAAATTTTGTTGTGAAATTTAAAAACGATCTACGCGAGTTTCTCAGAATTCTGTGAACCATAAAGGACGTCGGGACTGAAACTACCCGGACAACTCACCATAATGAAGTTTTCTGAAGCAACCGGAGCGTCCGCCATGATGAAAAGCCTGCAAAACGAACTCATTTAACCACCAGCAAACCCGCAAAACGCATTCTACTTCTAAGCCTTAACAATCAGTGCAAATTAATCGACAGTACAAATTCAGCCATATGCTTGTCTATTGGAATCATCATTTAGAACTGAACTAGGCAAGTTTGACTGGAAAATGGGGACTCATCTATGGCCTGGGAATGCTTCGGAGGCCCGCTTGGCATCACCGAGCTGCTGTAATAAAAATGGTTAAGTGAAAGTGCACCGCCATGGTTCAATGTGAGGCAGGCAAGCATGGGTTCAGAAATGTAATAAAATGATAAAATCATGGGCTTGGAAGCTCATACGAACGAGACTTAGAGTTTCATCATGAAATGGGGGAAATTCACGAAAATATCGCCGAAACCTTCTGCCCAGCAGTAACTTGAACGCTTACCTGCCGTTTACAAGACATTTACTTGGAGGATTGTTCAGATAAAAGCAGATGAAAAATGGTAGTAATCAGTCTTACCTCAGGAGAACACTATAGAACAATACAGAACACGTCCGAACTTGTCCGGCAAATTTGGAAAGTGAGCGAGTTAGGGATTAGGGATGACACGAAATACTTGTCACAGGTATTTTGGAACAGACATCGATCATCATTAAAATAACATGTGATTTGAAATAACAGGGCTCGCCTACGATGCTGGTCAGGGCCAGTTCAACATGGTATTTCGATATTTCAACAAAGCGAGATATTTTATTCTCGTGAAGTAGTAAGGTTTTGTATGGAAGATGGAAAAAAGTCAGAATGAACAGAAATTGTCGGGAACAGCAGTAACAGCCGTCTCCGATATTTTCTTTAATGTGATCAGGCCTGTGAGTCACAGGCTGTGACTGACTGACTGTTTTTTCGGAATTCTGAGCTGTTCCTTGCCCTTGAAACTTGATCTTTTTCGACGAATAGCAGTGCTTCTGAAATAAAATAGCATTTGTTGCATCTGCCCAGTGGAGTAGTGGACGAACTATATTTAAATTTGTATAGGCGCTATTTACCTAGTCTGAACATGTTTCAATATTTGTTTATATCAAACAAAGCTCAAGTATTAAATGGCCAATTTTCAATTAAGCGATAAGATGAATTGTAATCAGTGATTAGCATGAAAATGGAAGATTTTTCGCATTTTACTGCCCTTAAGTGGGAAAGATAAAAAATGTGGTCACCTTTTTTTGAGTTGAAATAAAATTTCGATAAAATGGTAAAACGTTACTCATAAAAAATGTTATGACTTTTTTTTTACCATCAGCCCTTGCATACATAAAAGAACAAAATGAATTCAGTCTTCGGTCATAATTTATTGCTGACCCAGCAAATTCGCGCAAAGTGGAGTGGATATTCTTCAATGAAACAATTAATGCAGTCGGACTAGGATAGATTTTTTCCGGGCACTAAATAGATGAAAGTAAAAATTTTTATAATTAAATTTGGTTTTGGCACTATAACTTTTTTGGACGGTGTCTGTATACTTTATAAGTGTTTTTTTTAGTTCCAAATATTCATAACTTTCTGTTCATTCCTATTTGTTATGTAAAAAAGACTCTGGCCTATGTAAAAAATACTGCTGTATCTGACCAAAAAAGTTATGATACCATTTTCTTGAAACAAAACTAAATTAATTATTGAAACTTAACAAAACGCTGAAATCGACGGATTTTTTTTATTTTTGAGTAAACTAATGAACGGATTTTAATGTAGTTTATCTGATATCATAGGTGTTTTTAATATTTGAAAAAAAGGATAAAGCTTTTTTTCAATAGCATCAACGGTTCAACAATTATGCACAAAAAACGGGCTTTCGCACTTTCTTTAATTATTTATAAATAATTGTTTATAAGCAATGTTCCACAGCCGGAAATCGAGCACAACATAAGACACAAAAGTCCAATATTCTGACATCCTTTCGAACAACTTTCGAACACTGACAGATATTGATGGGCGGCTCGGATCTGACCCGACTCAGGGATCCGGATCTTAGAATTTTCCAAATACGGGTCTCGGATCTTAACGGATTTTTTATATGCCTAGAAATAAAGCAGCGTGTAACTGTAATATATCTTAGTTGACTTATTATTTCAAAACTTACATAAACTTAAGTGAATTAAATTTAATAAAATTTAAAAAATGGCTCCTTTACTTTTATTTTTGAAAGCTTACATACGTCGGGTCAAAAGAGCCGTGTCTCGGATCCGAATCTCGGATCCGGATCTCGGCTCAACGGGTCCAGAACCATGTAGAACCTTAAGTCCCGACGGATCTTCTGTATTCCATTCCGGATAACGTAAGGAAAATATGTCTCATTTATGTTGTGCAGTTTTAAATAAAGACATATAAAGTATAGTTTAACTTATATTTTTCAGTATTAGTAATCATTATGTTTAAACTATTCAAAATTTCAATAGATCTCTTTTACAAACGATTGTCGCTCTTGTACCTAAAATTACTATTTTTTGCTTTCAGAAACTAAGATGTTAATTATGAAGAAATACATATTTGCAATAATTTGTGTGCACTTGCACGGTAAAAATGAAAATAAAATTAAAACAAGGATTAAACTTGTATTTACTTTCTGTCATTTTATATAATTCAAGTACCTTTTTTAACTATGTATTTAAATTTTCTATAACATTTTTGTAATCAGGTATATTATAACTTAGAACACAACGTATTATTTTAATAGAAGCAATTAATTACGTCCAAGCCTGACCTATAATTTGTTCTTCTATTGAAATTAGGGCTCGGAATTTTTAAAAATCTGATATTCGAATATTCGTTTAGTAGTTTATTCGAATATCTAACGAATATTCGAGCTATTCGTATTCGTTAGATATTCGAGTGTTCGTTTTCCTTTCACCGTTTTCGAAGAAGAAAATGACCAAAACACAGAGACGTAATTTTATATTCATTTGCAGGAGAGTAAATATGATTATTTTCATTTGCTTGTAAATATATGGATATTTGTTTAAATGCTTGTAGAATATGAATAATTTATTTTATAAAAGTATACAAAGTACTTATAAAGATATTTGCACCTTGTGAGTTTGATAATGTTGGTGTATTCGAGTATTCGATTATTCGAGTATTCGAGTATTCGAATATTCGAGTTGTGACTACACATAATTATTCGCTTTTCGAATATTCAAATATTCGAATACTCGAATTATTTGAGTTTGATTCCGAGCCCTAATTGAAATACAGCCTTAATTATTATAAAAAATAAATATGAAAGTAAAACGCAGCAATAATTATCGATGTTTTTGAGAAATTACTCATATAAATAGGTATGTTTAGATGAGGAAAGATAAATATTCAAAAAACAAAGCAAAGGAAACACTTGCGTAATGAAGTAGCTTAAATTTTGTTAAGAAGAAACAAACTTATTATAACGCATTTCAATAATATCACAGACATCACAATAATATTGATACTTGTCTTCATCCATGATTACAATTGTCAACTGCGATGTTGCGATCAAAGATGCGCCTGCCGCATGGATTCGACAGTTTAGTGCGCATTTTTTTCTTTGTCAGACGCACGGTTTTGGATAGAGGACTACAGGATAGAGAAGGCGTTTCGACCAAACTTTCGTAAGCATTAGTTGAGCAACGTTGCCAAGAGTTCGAAAAGTAAAAGATAACAGGGATCGGTTTTTTGTTTTTTTTTTGTTTGGACTGTGGCTGGAGGATTAAAAATCTTCGCGAAGACCCAGTGTTCCGAACCCTGGGTAGTGTTGGATTCTTACCAACTAGAAATTCCCCTTTTTTGTACTACGAGTTTTCGGGAGTTATCTTTTAAAACTGGTAGTCCTCTCAAGTACTTGTCTCTGGTCCTCTTTAAGAATTTGTCAGCTCCAGCATCCGTACGCCATAGCATCGCATTCTCTCCATGCTAGCTGTGGTGGTATCCCGGAGAAACATTTAGCTGTTGTTTGCATAGAACTCCAAGATTTTTTCCATCTCCAATATCCTCTGCTATTGCCAGCTTTCCATTTCAGTTAGTTATTCTCGCGTCAATAATTGAGGAGCAGCTAAACAAAGGACAATCCAACGTTGCCATTTGCCACGATTTGGTCATTTCTAATCTAACCCGACATTTATTCGTTGGCAGGTTAGAGAAGGAAAAAACTATTTTTATTTGATTATGTATTTTATCTTTACTAGACTCCAATTTTATTATTGAAGGAACAATATTTAGTTTTTCCTTTCTTTGTGGTAGAGAAAGGTGGTTTTATTTGATGGTTCACTGGAAAATAGTGTGATATTTGGTTGTAAGCATTTTACAGGAATAATATTACGTACAGAAGCATTAATAAGTGTGTTTAACTGATTGTTTATAAGCTTTAATTGTTCGGTTGAAAGCTCTCCAGTTTATTTTCTCAACATAACATTTCGTCATTATGATTCCAATTATAATTGAGCAGCTGCTGCACATGTTCAGATCTATAACCAGAGGTGCCAGGTCTACCGATTTGTCAAGGAACCTACCGATCTACCGATGCCATGCAGATTTCTACCGAAAAGTAACAAATAAAAGTTAAAAAAATTTCCGTGGATTACTTAAAATTATATAACATATTTCCATTCATGATCAAAGTACGTTGGTAATAGCAGACATTTTATTTTAGCACACCTCGTATTTTAGAGTTCTTTTTCAAACATAAAATGAATCAAATCCGCCATATAGATCATAAATATGACAAAATTATGTTTTATGGATCCTGCTATAGTGAAATCAGGTTCCCTACAATCTATTTCTGATGTTGCAATGATATTTCCAAATTTAATAAATGATAGTGAACTACAAGGTGTGGACACAGAATGACGTCTGTTGCGAAATGTTGAACAAATTAAAAAAATTTTTGGAAATATTGAACAGTTTTGGAGCAATGTACAAATATTGAGATATGGAGATGATATATTCATGTTTCCAATTTTAAGCAATTTTATTTGTAACCTGCTTATTCTACCTGACTCATCAATGTTGAACGGATATTTTCACAGGTTAAACTAATGAAAACTCAGTTGAGAAATAAGCTAAAAACGAGTACAATTTCATCCTTACTTTTTTACTTCTTTATTGACTCATGTCATTACATTCCTGTAAGTTTAAAAATTCAAGTTTTGAAAAACGCGCTATTTTATGGAGCCTTTTTTGGTGAGGTTTCGGACCACCCAACCAGCTCTAGATGTGCGTAACAGAGCATTTCCAAAACCTCACCAATTTGAACACATCTCAAAAATGAGTCTACCGATTTTCTACCGAAAAATGTCGAGCTTATCTACCGAAACTCGATTTTCGGACCTGGCAACCCTGTCTATAACATTCATAATTTAACTTAATAAATAATTAAATAAAACATAATTAAAAACATCTTCCGCAGCCAACAAAATGAATATATTTACAGTTTGTATTCCTTATTAAATAACTAACACAATTAGAGGTATATTCAGTCCTCCACACTTTAAAATATGTAGGTCTAAAAAAACAGAATGTATGAACGTTTAAAAAATTATGAGGTACTCAAAGTATTTTTCACAGATACTAACCGTAATCAGCGGGGGATCTAAGAGTTTCTTGAGGGGAGGGCGCATTAAAAAAGGAATATTGACTTTTTGTCTACCACAATACCCTTCATTCTGCAGGTTTTTTATTGCACTTAAAACAACAATAAATAGTGTTTTAAAAAGACAACAAAGCAAACCATATTAAACTTAATTTAAAGTTTACGGAACGTCGCAAAAAATAATTAAAAGCATATGCTCAGGGGGTATTTACAGTATCTGCCCCTGATCGTAATAAACAGAAAAATGTATTGTATAAAAAGTTCTTTCTTTTCGTTTCTTTTCAGAACCATAATTTTTTTCCAAATAAATGACTAGGATAAGAAGAAACAATGCAAATAATTTGAGAGCACGTACTATTTTTGAATTTAAGTCTACTCATAAATAAAATGRTATTTTATGTATCTAAGGCAAGAAGTAAGCTGTAATATACTAATTTATTTCTTTCTCAATAWGGAAAAGAATTAAATAACGGTGACTTACTCAAGTTAGAAGTAAAAAATCATTTACYTGTACGTGCCCTTACTTTTCWGTTGCGGGCACGCAAAATTTATTTTCGACAAATTTTGTTAATTTGTTAATCAAAACACCATATTTTCAGTATTTCATAAGGGTCTCATGTTTTGGTAGTAAAGTAAGCATATTTACTTTTACATGCCCTTACCTTTCTGCTGCGGGCACGCAAAATTTATATTCAACCAATTTGGAATATACCGTCGATATACATTCATGTATATTACCGGAATATTTGTTTTGAACATACTAGGTATATTCACCTTGCACGTATGTACATATATGTACATACCTAGGATATACTTTTTATGAACTTTGATTAATATACATGCATGTATATTCCACCAACATTCATGTTAGGAATGTTCAACCATGTATATTCCCAGGATATTCCCGCAATGTTCTGTATATTTTTTGAACATTCTGGGGTATTCATAGAATATCAAATGCTATCTGGGTATTATCTGTATTTTTTTTACCAGTTTGATTTTGGTTGATTTCTATTTTGTGAGAAGCATGTTTTCTTGGATTGAAGGAAAGCAACAAGAGTAAAATGAAAGTAATGTATCAATGCAAATTGCTATACCTAACTGTATTTATACACAATAGAATAATCTGTGGGTGAACGAAAATACTCTTCTATCAATGTAAAACTATTAAATACATTTTGTTGTGACCAATATTAAAATTTGTAATTGCTTATAGAATTTTGTTGAGAGCATATTGCGAAACACTTTAATAGGGATTAAAAATTGTTAATGATGGATCGAGAACAAAATGAAAGGGCAAAAGCCACACAGAGGGGACATGTAAGAAATATAAAATAATTAGTGCAGTTTTTTAGACAAAGGTTTGTGTTTTAGCTCACAGTCACACATCATTGCGACAACGGCAAAAATGCTGAAAATGTTATTTTTGAATTTTAGTCCGTAGTTATAAGTTATATTTTAATTTATTTATTATCCATTTAATTAGTTTTAGTTTAGTTGTAAGTAACTCTTGTTGTTGAAAAATTGAAAAAACAACAGTAAATACTTAAATATGTGAATAAACTAATAAAATGAAATAAAGGATCGGTTTTCTTTCGTTACATATATGTATATTCCCTGAACATACCATGAACATTCAGTGTATTAACTGTGACAGACATGGACAGTCCTGAGACATACACGTAATGTTCATAATGGAACTCATGTATGTCCCAGGAATATGCATATACATCACATAAATGTTCCAGGTATATTCTGGGAATATCATTTTGCTATGTGGAAACCTACTTTATTCTGGAGCAAAAATCATGTTTTGTGATATACCTCGTATACGACAAAGAAATATAATATCTGATTGTTGCATTTCAGTTTTTGGACCATAGAGAACTTTTTATGAAGAATAACTTCCTTTTTCTCAGGATTCTCATATGAGAAGCACCATATGATGCCAACTTAAGTACGCACTGTATATACATACATATAAAATTTAACTAAATACATACACTTATTTTTTATTTTAAATCTTCGGTACCTTTATTAGGTATTTAAAAAAACTCTTCTCTTCTTAAAACACTGCCCCAAAACGTTTCACATTTTTCTTCAGTTTTGTTTTCAATTTGAAACCATAGACACACAACTTTTGCAGCAGACAAACTAGAACGGATTTTCAAAAACTCGGTTACCAAAACTATTTAGGAATTAATTTATTTAAACATTGATTAACATTAAACAGACATTTTTAAACTATACGTCATTCACCGGGGCCAGAGCTGTCACGATCCTCGCATGCCAAAAATCTGGGTCACCGCAAGACGCGAGGCGTAGAGAGTACCACACGACGTCACGCAATATCTTACCTTATATTCATTGTATCACACTAAAATGGGCAAATTTAAATAACTACTCAATGTTTTTGCGCTGTCATATGATCAGTGCTTTTGATGTTGGATGATCGGGAATAATAATACAGAGATATTGGACGGCCAATAATATTTCCTTTTTTTTATTTTAAATAATCCTGGAACGTACTCGAGAGATCCGACAAGATCCGACTGTCAAAAGTCAGTGTCTGTCAGTTGTCTTCATCTATGTGTCAAACCACGTTAAATGGGCTCGGTGTTATGGTGTTTGTGCTTTTTGTGTGTAGTGTTTGTTCGTGTTAAATTAGTTATTGCATCTGTTTGCATCAAATTAAAGATACCTTAACAATGATGGATTGAACATTGCTAGTAACGAGTGTAATAACATTGAGACTGGGAATTCGCCCTGAACCTTATCGATTTCAGTGTTCGTATTCAGTGCGCAACGCATCAGCCATACTTGACAATCAATGTGTTATTTTTAGGCGTTCCTGAAACAGTTTTGTGCTGTTTAATAGGGATTTTCGCCTCATTTAGTAAGTATTTGTCGTATAATTACTAGTTTTAGCTATAATTCTCTCAATACGCTTTACTAGGAAGAATTATTGTCTCGTGCTCCTCGAAATGCCACTTTACAACTCTGGATTCTCTTGGAATGAGCAGGAGATTAACAATAACAAGCGTTTATTAAGTGCACTCCACATTTCGATTTGTCGTTTTTGTTCATCATGATTATTCAGGTTCTTTCTTTCGTTCTGACTTTCAGATGAAATCATATTTCCAGCTCATTTTCTGCTAAAGCAAAATCATTCTGCTTCCAATAATTTTTTTCAGGAAATAATTCGATATATAATTAGGGTCGAGTGGGGTAAAAGTAAATGATTTTGACAATCATTATCTTTTTTCGGCCTACAAATTTTTTGTTGCAGTGATTGATAAAGCTACTTTACATTGTAGTGAGTTAAAATCACAGAAACAAAAAATCAATTTTGGAAAATAAATATTTAGAAGAAGTTGTTATTGTTTACATTTACCCAATAAGTTTGGGGTTATTGTAAACGCCTAAAACTTCAACCCCATAAGCATTATAAAATAAAAGTAACGAGGTAAATGTAAACATTTAATATTTTGTTTAATGCTTGTAACATGCCTACTAAGTATTACAAATTTAGGTTCCTGTTTACATTTACCCCAAAAGAATTAAAAACAATCCAGGAAATTTTATTCAAACCCAGGAACTTGAAAACTACTTAGAAACTCGTGAATTAAACCCTTCATAAAAGAATAATATAAATTTAAATACCTAATAAATAAACATTAATTTTTTGACACTGGAACTACGTTTTGAAAGTTTTAATAAATTATTTCTCCATTCATTTTAACTGTGGGAAATGGCACAACCTTTAGTATCTGCTTTTTAGCGATACAAGTAATTGCAAGCAAGTTTTGTTGAACTTACTTACTAACATTACTTGCCTGAACGGCAAAACTTTTCTTTGTATTGTCTATCGATTTTAGTCATATAAAATAGTCATGAAAAATAGCAATATAAAATTTTCTAACCGTACCAACTTTATCCATCGATTTCGTATGGGTCGGTCTTTTGGAAGCCGGAAAAATGAACATTTTTACGATCATTATAATTTTTCATTCAGTAGCCCAACACATAACCATTATTCTATAACATTTAAATACAAATAACAAGTTTTAACACGGTTACTAATACGAAACGTGCTATTCGTTCACATCAAGTTTGAGGTTACCACGACATTTTCGTCGAAAATAAAGAAAACTGCTAATAATTACGTTATGATTTTAATGTAGAATCGTTACTAAGACACTCCTAAATGCAAATACATACGTTAGAATGCTTCTTTTTTCCACTGTTGAGATAATCAGCACGATTTGGAAACTTCGTATCTAACTCCAATGCATATTTACTTTGCTTAGATACAGTCCCTCAATCTGTCTAATTTGTGACGTCACCACTTATGGAGCTTATAGTCCGATCGTAGGTGATTCAGGAATGAAACAAAATGCAATAGGTATGTATTGCCACTTATTTTACCCATGCATAATTATTTATACTTGCACTTTGCGAGAAAGAAAAATTCCTATAAGTAACTCGCAGATATTCCCTTAGGAAACCTTTCAGGTTTAGTTTATTTAGGTTTAGTATTGGAATTGTTTAGTGATAATCCAATTTTCTCTTCTACAATGCTTTATCGCGGTTTTCGTTAAAAATAAAAATATGAATTTAAGATTCATTCATTCATTCAGAACAATTAACCTATCCCGACCCACAATCAACGCAGCTTCAAATTGAGGCTTATAATTCACAAGTTCAAAAGTCGAAACGGCCCCTTGTGGCTAAAATTGTAACTACAAGTTAACTAGTAATTTGACACTTGTTTTGTTGATGTTTTTGTCACATACCAATGAGACATAGAAACAGATCGAAAAGCGTGCCAATATTGTTTTACGTTATAGATGTCATTAACTCCAATAAATAAACAAGTCTCAACTGCCACTCGACAACAAGTAATTTGACGTTTCGCAGCTCCACCATCGGTAGTTTTGTCTATTTAACCGTTTTAAAGTTTACTATTCCATTGATGTATAACGTTCTGTGCAGTCTTGCAACGCTGCATAAAGTTTAGCGTAAATATGGAGATTTCCAAGTATGATTCTATGGACGATCCTCATTTTTTTTTCACTGAAACTGCTTTATTTTAAGTGTGCTTTAAGTAAAAAAATAACGCGAACCTCCTACAGACATAAAGTACATGAGCACCTTCTGTTCATCTTTTAAGCCTCTCAAGCACAAGATTTATTAGTAAAAAGCATATGTATGAGACAACAGCTCAAATTGAGTAATTACAACATTGGAAAACAGTGGAGGTCTCAACTCTAAATTTAGTAAAGTTAAATCCCAGAGTCATCAATAAGACATAATCATTCAGTCATCTATTAAAAGAAAAGAAAAGAGGAGCCTAAGGGTAGAGTAAAATCAAGTATAACTCATAAATCACAAAATTGAAACTATCCATTAATAATTTAAAGCAAAAGAAAAACTTCTCTCCCTCCCTTCCTCCTCTTCTCTTTAATAGAAGAAACGAAAAAAGTTAAAAAGAAAAGAAACAGAAAAAATTGGTGCTCACAAACATATCACACTCAGTAATTAAAGTCATCGTGTAGTCAACGCTATCAATTAATACATTAAGTACAGGAACCAACATAAAGTAAAATAAAATACGATAGCAAAGGACGAAGCGGTGTTGTTAAAAGCGCAATTAAAGATTTGACTAGTAAGCGTGTATAGTCGAGTGTTGATGCTCGAAACCAAACTGGTACGGTGGTATATGTTTTCGATAAGTTCTTGAAGTCGTTTAATTACACTGGTCTGCAAAAAAAGTCTCTCTGTTTTCATGCATGATAACATCATAATTAGTGCTCTAGGCACGGAATTTAACATACATATAAATTTAATGGCTATTTAATTAAAAATCGATATTATCAAAGTCATCATCATCATCATCATCATCATCATCATCATCATCAACCAGCCCCTAGAAAGTCCGCTGCTGGACATAGGCGTCTCTCATGGTCCTCCACCCATTTCTATCTCGGCCTGCATAGATCCAATTATTTGTGATGCTCTTCAGGTCATCGGTCCAACGTGTAGGTGGCCTTCCTCTGTTTCGCTTATCGGTGCAAGGCCCCCATTCCAACAGCCTCTTTGTCCACCTGTCGTCGCCCATTCTGGCCACGTGTCCTGCCCAATTCCACTTTAATGTAGTTATTTGCGCGATTATCTCTTTCACGCCGGTTCTTCGCCGCAGGTCCTGGTTTGTGACGGGGTCTCTCAAACTCAATCCAATTATTGACCTTTCCATCTTGCGTTGTACTGCTTTGAGTTTTTTGCGGATGTCATATTTAAAGCTGGGTTCTCATGACTCCGGAATGCGAAATGCGGAAAACCTTCCGACCAATCAGAAGTTTGCCGGATACGTTCGCTCCACCCATCCGCAGAAGTTCCCAAAGTTTAATATATTCCGCATGCCGTGCGGAAGAAGGTGAAAACCTAGGTTGTCTCCAGTGATGCTCCAGTGAAAGGTTATATTCAGCGGTGTCTATTTGACCATCTTTAATTTTGATGTCTTTGTTTCTTTTTTTTTTTTGGAACGTACAAAGCAAAAGCAGATTCAACTTTTGTTTTCGAACGTTCATTTCATGCGCCTCAAAATACTGGGAGGAAAAAATGTAGAAAAAACGGTTGTATCTTGTCTCGCTGCCCGAAAGATATGCCAACACTATTGACGGAATCCGGATACATGTGAACTGCGTTAATTTTTCCTCGCGTAGTAATAGTAGTAGGCTGCGCGCACACTTTCCGCACTCCGCATAGCATTCCCGACCCATGAGAACCAAGCTTAAGGTGAGTGTTTCTGCGCCGTATGTGAGCACTGGCAGAACGCATTGGTCGAAAACTTTTCGTTTCTGGCAGGTGGAGAGTTTCCTCATGAAGACTTGTTTTAACTTTCCATTAGCCGCCCATCCTAGGCCGATCCTTCTGTGCAGGTCGCATGTTTGATTGTCTATAGATTTTCTTACTTCGTGGCCCAGGTACATATATTTTTCGACCCATTCGATTTCGGTGTTATCGATGTTTATACTTTCGCTCACGACGAGATTTGTCATGATTTTCGGCGACGTTTTTGACGTTTTTCAGTTCATTTTCAGACCAACCCCGGAGCATGTCTCCTCCACTTCGTCTAGCATTTGTCTCGCCTCTCTAAAGTCGTCAGTTGTCAGGACTGTGTCGTCATCGAATCAGGTGGTGGCTAAGGTTCCGGCCATCTATGTTTATTCCCTTTGTGTCCCAGTCAACTTTTTTGAAGACATGTTTATGAAAAAATACAGAATTTTCTCACGTCTTTTATTACAGATGCCTAAATAGTGTTTTTATTTCGAAATAAGAACGAATTATTTATCAGAAAGTAACCAGAAAGAAGAAAGAACCTAGAAATGAGTATGTTAATAAATTGTGTAATAATAGTAAGATAATACAATATGTAAAAATTCGCTCTGTTAATTTTTGAGTCAGATGGACTTTGTACGGATGGAGCTTCAAATCCAATTGCAAAATGCGTGAGCCGTAAGACAAGCCCAAATGTTGAGCACGTCGGGGAATCGACGAATTCGGGTCTTCCTCCACACTTTGAGCAACAAAATCATCAAATTTTCAAAGACTGTCGCGCATAAATTGTGCGGTATTTCAGAGATACAGCGTTGAATTTCATCTGTTCTGGCTTCAATCGTTGTTGGTTTGTTCACATAAACTTGTGACTTTAAAAAAACCCCAAAGAAAAAAGTCCAAAGGCGTTACATCGCATGACCTGGGCGGCCAATGCCGATCTCCAAAACGAGAAATAAACCAGGAAGTGACTCCTGCAGTAATTCAGCAATTTCTCTGGCTGTATGGCATGTTGCACCGTCCTGTTAAAACCACATGCGGTTTATTAAAATTTCGGCACAAAAAAGCTAGTTAACATTTTACGATTTTGAACACCACTCACGGTTAATGGTTGACCAACTGCATGTTCGAAGAAAAATAGTCCGAAGAAGCCTCCAGCCCACAATGCACACCAAACAGTGACTTTTTTTGGATGCATGTTTTTGTTTCTGAACGATTACTCGTTGATTTTCGAAACCCCAAATGCGACAATTTTGTTGATTAACGAARTCATCAAGATTAAAATGGGCCTCATCACTAAAGATGATCGTTGAAAAATCACCCTCCAATTGTCGTTGTTCCATAATCCAAAAAATGGTCTTCCGGCTTTAGCTCAATCAATTCAACTTTGTACGCATGAAAGTTCAAATATTTTCTTAAAATTCTATGCATAGTGGTTGGGCTTTCCTCAACATTAGCACGTACTCTTATCGCTCCGTTTTACTTAACCTCCTGCTGTCTACCAACAAACGGCCTTTTTTTAATGTCAAATCATGACACGACAAATGGCGCGCAATTCAAAACCGTCGTTCTTACTGGAACACCTTTTAGAAAAAAATCGAAAAGTGTGCAAGTATTTTTTTTTGTTATAAATGTCATCAACTACAATAAATAATCAAGTTTGACGTTTCGCAGCGCCACCATCGGTTGTTGAACTTGCAAATAGTTTAGTCTGTCAACAGGACAATTTAAGATTTTGAAAGGACGAAATCGAGGTTAGGTGTTATTAAATTCACGAAACAATACCAACAGTTGGCCAAAAACTGCGTGTTGCATTAGTATAAACAACAAATGTTTTCTTTGTCATTTCCTGGGGATTTTTTGGCCATTTTTTGCTCATTTCATATCTAATTAAAAATGATAATGATTCTCTTAGTGAAAATGGGCATGTTCTACATAATTCTTGGCCAATTTTAGAAAAACATTTTTCTCGAATAAATTCTGGTCATGCACTAGTTTGTTAACGAATTAAAATGTCTACTAGGGTTGGCACTAGAGGTTCTTGAGATTCTTCTGACTTTTTCTTTGTGGCCAAGTTTTCACTTTGAATGGTTTGTTTGTCTCTCGCGCGACCGTCCCACTCACATAAACAACAGCAAAATCTGGTGTATGCTCCTTGCAATCCAGTAAGTATAGCGACAACTTTTAAGTCAGCAGAAATGTTCCATAGGTATTGAGAATATTTTATTTTTATGTTTGTTGCATGTGCTAGAGACACTGATGGGTACTTATTTCCGTTGTGAAGGAAAACGGCTTATATAAAAAGTCCATTTATCAGAATTTTTTCTTCTTTGGTGCACGTTCACCTGAAGAAACCCATTGTTTTGATTGCACTTTGGTCTCAAAACTAAAAGTAACTCCTAAAAACTTCTTAAATCTACTTGTCTTGTGCGAAAATATGAGACTCGTACTTTTATCCAACAAATTCCACTGTTTCAATCTCGATCCGAGTAACCGTGCCTTAGATTTTGATAGCCCCAAGTCTCTAACGAGATCATTTAATTCAGGTTGTTGAAAATAGGTTCTTTTGATGGGCTTGAAGGAATCCGGAGAAAGTGGATGATGGTGGAGATGTACAGGTAGAATTGAAACTCGATTGAGGCTGTAGGCCAGAAGTATTTTTATTTTCCATTTTCTCGCTATTTTTTGGAGGCACTGGAGGTAAACTGCCACTGCCAAACAAAATTTTGTTTTCTTTTTTTTCGAGAATCCTTGTGTTGATGTTATGCAGAAAGAACAGGATTTTTGGCATAGGGATTAATAAGACTTGCTTCCACGTTGTATTATATTAATTAGGTAGTTTATATTTGTTTACTGCAGAAGTAATTTATACTAATAAATATTTTTTTTGCAGATTTAGTTAAGAAATGAACCAGGAAATCGACTGGTTTCATCGTTCTCGACAATGGACAATTAGCCAGAACAGGGTAGCTATGGGGCCATTTACCAATGACTATAGAAGGGGATTTAGAGGCCGAGATGACTGTAACACCTACGGCGGCAAAGGAAACAATCAGTTCAATCAGGGTCATAGAAACAATAACCGGCATTCACAACAGCAGACAGCAAACAGTTACAGCTCAGGACCATATCCAGATCTTACGAGTTACGGTTCAGTTAGGCCCATATCCGGATTTTCGGGTTCAGCGAAGCCAACAGGAGCACAGGGATATATTGCAAAGTAAGACTAATTTTTAGGTACAGGGCGTGAAAATGCACTGGACTATACAGGGTGTCCAAGATCAGAATGCATTGCATGGGGATCCCCGAAATCGGTTAAATTCGGAAAAAGTTGCGCAATCAGAGGGCCCATGACATGGCATTTTTTGATGTATTTTTTATTTCTTGATATATTTGAATATTTAGGAAAAAAGCGGCTTTTCGTATTTTCCTTGCACCTTTTGGAGCGGTACAAGATAGTGTCGATGAGAATTATTCCAACGTTTCGATACTTTAAAACCATCATCAGCTTTTGTTTTTCATATGGACCCAAAAAGTACCTACATCGCGGATTGGGTAGCAGTTTTAATAGCGAATTCAACGATGTGAAACATATTATGGTTTGTGTTCGCATTGGGTGAATCAAGTGCAGGTTTTGCGGTCGCTAATTTCAGGCTAAACCCAGCTGATGAGAGCTAATAGGCTCGAAACCGGTCCTGGGGGTGCCTGAGGTTGGGAAACCTCGAAATTTGCACTAGCTTACTGATTTCTTATTCGGATCATTAATGTCGACGAAATCCTTGTATTTACAACAAATAGTAATATTTCTTCCGGTTCTTGCGTCTAAAAATCAGTTTTTTAGAAATTATACTCATTTTTATTAGTAAACGATAACAAAATTGCTACTTGTGAGTTCTAACATCAGTCAATAAGTATTTAATACACATCAGGAATTACCATATAAATTTTGGAGACGATTTTTTTTTTAATATTGAGACCTTTTATTTACCACCACACTTTAACCACAAAACGTTACATTAACTTATTGGAAAATCAGTTAGAAAAAAGTTTAAATATTTTGCCACTAGAAAATGTACTAAATTGCTGGTAGACAAGTTCTGAAGCACCTGTCTCAACAGTTTCCAGGAAGATCAATCGGAACTCACCTAAACATTAAACTTACATTAAAAACCAAGTTTACATTCAATATTTCGACACTGAAGATCAACTTTTGAGGGCACCGATGCGTTTAATTCCATAACCGCAGATCAGGGTTGTAGATTCAACTGTGTGAAGAGCGTTGTGTTTAGAAAATTATTGTTATCTTTTTGAACAATTATTATGAACATTTTTGTTTTTTTTTTCTGGTTTTAGTAAGTTCATTTTATTTAAATTACTATTGTTGTACTTACATCTTTTTATTTAATTGAAAGGTTTTATTCTTGTTTTGTAAATGACACGTACTCCTTAAGTGGAACCTAGACTGTCTTCTTTCAGGATATTTGTTGTACATGTAAATTAGGGATAATTTTTGAAAATATGTTTTATTGATGAAATAGCCTAATTGATAAAATCTTATACATCATTGCATTCGCTATTAAAGAGCTACCTAATATGTAATGTACTTTTTCGGTCCATATGATAATCAAAAGTTGATGATGGTTTCTAAGAAAGGAAACGTTGGAATACATCTTTATCGATTCTATCTTGTAGAGCTCGAAAAGGTGTCATAAGAAAGTAATTTTTGTTTTTTGAAATGTTCTGCAATAACTTCAAAAATGATCACGAACGAATATCCGAAAAAACACTTTTTTGTAAATATCTCATAAATTAAAAGAGATACTTCTTTTTTGAAAACGCCATGTAAAGGGTGCTTTTTCTTTCTTCTTCTTTCTCAGTAAGGCAAATCTTTCCTGAAGTAATCATTGAGGCCCCGCAAGGTTGTTTTCCTTGGTAATTTCATATTCCGAATCATTTTGTTTTGTTCTACTGAAGTAGCCGTCTACGAGAATGTACTAAACGATAGTAAATTTCGCTTGCGATAGTGGCGCCATTGGGCGGTGAGGCTAAGTACTTATCAGACGGCCCTCGTACTTAAATTAAATTTTCGTAAATATTTTTTGAAATATATGCTCTCTTCTTTCTTTTCAGTAACTTCAGTCGGGAGCCATCTGCTTCATCTACGCCTATTCTTCCGGCAGCTTCTGCTTTTGCATCAGTCGGCCACGGTCCTGCACCTCTACCTCCAATTGCCAATCTAGACATTCACACTTCGCATCAGCTTTCACGCGGATTTCCATTAGATGCACGGGTTCCGCCTCCACCTATTGGTCAATTGGATCTAGCCAGACCGCCACCAGCTGTCTCTGGATGGTACCAAAATGGAATTGAGTATCCAGGAGCGCCCTTTTTGCCTCCTCAGCCTGCATTGAGTTCGCGTGGTGCATCACTATCCAGACCAACAGATTCGCAACAAATACTCAATGAACGAAGTCATCGTTGGCCAAACAATAAGCACATCTCTCCGGCTCTGGACGTTAAAAGTACTGTGTCGGACCGATCGGTAGCGTCCAGATCGGAATCGATTCCTGCATCAATTAGCAGTGTGAAGGAGGAGGTCGACGACGATGACGACGTCATCTGCGTTACGGATTTGAGTAAGTTCTTTTACGCTAATTAATTGCTATGAGAGTAGGCATGTTGTCTGTCCGTCTCTCAATGTTTTCCCCGTTATTGATCTTAATGTCTTCATTTATGTTCTGAGTTTTCGATTTGTGTCTGCTGTTTCAGCTCTGGTTTCTATTGAATTTGTTAGTATTGACCTTACACGTGACTTATGGCCGTATGTACCGTCAAGCCCCTTAATCGCGATTAACTAGGCCCGTTTAAGAACTAATCTGGTTTAAGAACCCAGTTGCTATGCACCGTTGAAATGCAGCGGTGCATAGCACTGGGTTGAGTTGCATATCAACTGGTTGAACTGTATAGGGATATGGCAACCGTGAAAAATCTAAGAATTATGTTCGGTAATTGCCAAAATTTAAGGCTACCAGAACAGAACAATTTGTTTCTGACTAAAATTTTTCAACTAAATTTTCAACTAATTTTTCAACTAAAAAAAGTTGAATAATGTATGTTGCGAGTTGTTATTGTTATACTTGTACGTAGTTAAAAACCGTGGTTTTATGGAAAAAGGAAAGTAGCCTCATTGCTGAAATATCTAAATTTGTTATTGAAGCCAAGCGGCAGAACTTCCTTGCATATTAAATTACAAGCGTGGAAGAAAATGAAAGCTATTTTAATTCCAATTCATAGAGTTCGTAGTATAGAGACTGGAGCGTCCTGAAACGATGTTATAGAAGTAAACATACTCTGACTTGACTTGAATTAATATTCAGTTGTATAAGTTCTCATAGTGACCAAGCAAAACACTATTACTAAATTCGCCGTTTTCTAATCTAGCCTTCAATCTGCAACTATTCAAAATTGTTGAATCGTGTTTAGTGTAAAGCCAATGCAAGTGTCCATAATTTTCAACGCGTTAAGTATTTATTGAAAATTCGTCTTTCGATTTCCACATACTTTATTTTACACTTCACAAAGTATAGCACGCTCCAATAACTCTTTCTTTTTATTAATCATTATTTCTAAAAGATTAATATCAACTAAAACTATTTTGTCTTCCAAGTTAATTCTCCAACTTGCTAGGATAAAAGCAAAACCCTCAATTCCAAAGGTTATGTTATGTATTTAAACTTGTTTAAGAACTTAATCCTCGGACGTAGTCGGATTAATGTTAAACGCGTTTAAGGTCAAAACAGTCGACGGTGCATACCGTTTACGATTTTTAGTCCGGTTTAACGCTTAATCGCGATTAAAGTATGTCGGTGCATACGGGCATTATACACTGATGGACAAAATTATCACACCATCTACAGGGTGTTTGGTAAATAGATGCATTCCTTGCAGGGGGTGATAGTGCAAGTAATTTTGGATATATTTCGTTAATAGAGCAGGTTCCGAAAACCATTAGTTTCCGATCTACAGGGTGTTAAAGTTTTAATAACGAAAAAGTTATTTATTAATATTTCGGAAACCGCTTTTAATATTATAATGAAATTTGACAGGCTTAGGCAACTAAGAAAAATACAGGTTTTGTGATGAAAATGTTGTTTCTATCTTTTCCAGTGGTGTGGGTACAGGCACGTCTGTAGATAATTTTAAACAGAAAAATGTTACGCCACTGATTTTTCTAAAATTAAATAACGTACGTACTCAAAATTTATTTATTAAAGAGTTTTAGATAATGTTTAGTGAAAACAAAAAGTTACTTAAGCAGATTAACAGAGATTTAAATGATTATCTCAACAAATACTTAAACGCATCTAAATTTATTTTATAAATTAAAAAAAATATTTTTCCCTCACTCAAATTTTTTGTGCTAGATGTAAAGTAGCTTACTTTCAATAATCTGGACGTCAGGAGCCGGAAGAACAGTAATAATCTGACTAATGTTAATGACAGATTCGTCACCTTCTCGAGCACTTAAGAGTTTATAAATGTTTCCAACACAATTGAGATACACGTATGTTGCGTGCCCTTTACCCCCTCCAAACCGGGCCAGAACAAAGGGTTTTTCTTTAATCAGATTACCAGAGTCGCTTTCCCCACTTCGTTCTTCTTGCAGGCCGACTCCCCAGATTCTTGCACACTGTAATGACTATCTTCCGATGATGTTGATTCAATTGAAACTGACCTGGCAATTTTCTTCTTTGATTGCTTAGATTTTTGTCCTTTCTCGTTCCTTCCTTTTTCAAATTGAGAAATTTTTTTCTCAGTCCTTTCCTCAAAATATTCTAACATTTGCTGAGATATGGCAATTGATGCGGTTTCATTTCTCAAAGAGGTAATTACAATTGGCCACCGGAATCTTGTGATTTAACACATTTAGACTTTTTTCTTTGGGGTCACGTAAAAGATGGTTTATGTCAATGCTCCACAATCGATTCAAGACCTTAAAGATGGAATTTGTGAAGTTATCGAGGACATACGCCGCAAATGTGTGAATTGGTCATGAGAAGGATTGACGCTGCAAGCGTAGCCATGGCGGCTATTTCGCTGATATCGTTTTCAAATGTTAATGGCATACAGTCCTCTTTACAATGAAATATCTTAAAAAAATACTCGGTTTTTGATATAAAAATGAAACTTCTTATCGGAAAACCCTTTATTAAATTGGCGAACAGCAGTAATGGATTTCTACACTTAATATTGTGTTATTTAATTATTAATTAATCATCAGAAATAGTACGATCAATACTAAGTTCCAAGTGTTTTCAGATGCAAAGTCCAAGTCACCACCACTGGATACATTTATTCGGTTTTTGGACGCAAACTACAGTGGTCTATTCCAAATCATAAATCGAGTGTCTGGAAACGACTGGTTGCCGACTATGGAAACATTTCTTCAGTAAGTATTACTTGTCGACAATTGAACTCTGTTGAAATGCAGCTTTTAAAGGAATTTGGAGGATGAGCTTTTTCAAATCGATGACAAAATTAGACTATGGATGCACTTGAATATGGTAATGATATCAGCCACACAGGGGATCAGCTTTGTGAATATAGAACTAGACAACTATCTGGATTTGATGGAGCGGTTTTTTGAAATTTACTTCAATTTGATGAAGCAAATATTCCAGCAGGCATGGAAGTTGCGACAGGTACTGTAAACTTTTGCAATGTTTTTTTTTTAATAAGACCAATTTGGGGACATGGTGGCAGTATTTTCAAATCAATTCCATAATAAGATTTTTTGAAATGATGTTTAGTTATATTCACAGTTTTGAACTGCAACTGTCTCCATTCAAATGCCCAGCGTTATTTTATTCCTCCTGTTACGATAATTCTAATATAAAATGAGCTTTGCCTGAGATCGCGTCAGATGTAGATCTGCAAATCAGTTTGTATTCAATATATCAACAAATATCTTGATATACAAGGTATCAAATCGAAAACCAAATTGTCTAGGTTCCCGCAAACTCCTTTAAAATCAAGTTCAATTTTGCACATTGGACTCGTATACTCAAGCGGTATTTGCAAAACTCTAATGCCGGTTTTACAATACAATTTTTTGCGCAATTTTTTGGCCATACATTGAACAATTTACTGAAGGTTATTTTCTCTGGTAGTCATCGACTTTACACTTGAATATTGCTTCCTTTTGCACAACCGATAACAATCTAAAACCCTAAAAACTCCCGGACAAATACTTACAATTCCAAAATAATTTTGAACAATCTGACAATAGGAATTAGCAGCAACATCGGGAATCATGGAAATAAAAAACCGAAAATTAAATATTTACCGATGGATTTGCAGCCGAATGTCTCGCTTCACACTCTTGTTTGGTAACCTTCAATAAATTGGCCAACAAATTGAGAAAAAGTTGTAATGTTAAGCGGACATAAGACTGATTATCTTTATTAGAAAACTGCAATTAATATATTACAAAAATGTCATGGCTTTCTACGACATTTGTAGTTAATGTCCGCAATTGTTAAATCAAAAGAAAACTTTTTACACAAAAACTATTAATGCTACAAAATTTTGAGCGAACCTTACTACTAATAAACCCAGAGTAAGTTTTATTAGAATCTTTTTTTCGTTCTCCTGATATTACAAGACAACATTTTTGAAAAACTGACCATCAACAACAAAGAATCCAAACATTTTTTCTTATTAAAAGTTAGCTCAGATCGTCTTCTTTATCATTTTGATCATGTGCTTATGAGACTATGTATTTATAATTACACCTAAGCCGCTTTCAACACGATTAGAGTGGTTTATAGTTGGTAGACTTCTTGTGTGTTTGTAATTGTATGAGTGTGATACAAATTCGAACGTATCAATGTATCAGCATTTCAATTAGTGATGGGAACTATCGACTAAAAACTCTATATAATATGACAACGCGTACCCCCGAAATTCCGTTTTCTTTCGTCTTGGGAGATCGCGGTGGTGTCTATTACTAAACATCCTGACAATGGATTGCATAATTTCACGCTGATGAGATCTATAGGTATAAATCTCATCAGTGCATGGAACATGTTACTAGAGAATAGACCGAACCTGTCGAAATGTGACTGCCTGTTGGGTGACCTTACGACTTACAAAAATGCCTAAAGAATTTCATAAATTATGAATTAACCTGCCTAAAATAAATCAACCTATTAACACTCGACCAGAAATAGATAAATTGTGTCCAACAGTCCGTTACACCATAGGATTTGCGGATAATTGAGTTTAGATCACTAAAATTATATTTATGTACGTTATCATGTCGTATTGGCATCGTGATAATAAACAGCTTAGGGTCAAGCAGTACACGGTGCATCTCGAATCGGAAAGATGCATTTTAAGTCGCTGCATTACTTTTTTATGAATAAAGTACACTACTAAATCAGTTCATAGCAACTAGAAACCTGTATCTTCAAAAGAATTTAATTTTGTAATAAATCCTACACTGCACTAGATAGCGCGCACTATTCAATAAATTAATTTACTCGAATTATTTTATTCGATAGTTGCAAACATTCATTTAGTAATTCGATAGTACTCATCACTAATTTCAATATGGGATTTTTCCAGGTGCCTGATTGCAAAGACATTGCCGTCAACTGCATTTTGGTATTAAGTCGCTGTTTTTGCAACCGTTACGATCGCATTTTAAATTGCTTTTTGGAACGTCAAATTCCAATGGACGTTAAAGGACTACCCCAAGTTTGGTTCCAGGTTTTATCGTAAGTATCTCACAGAAAGACATTTATATATTATTAGTTAAGACCTTTTGAATTTGATAAAGCTTTAATTATTTTTCATTTTAATTTTTATTTAAATGTTTGTTATCTGCATTGCATGTAGTATAATTAAATGTATTAATTAGATAATTTGAGAAGCGCCCATGCACCGTTGATTGAATGAATTTGTTTTGCAGATACTTACTCACAGTTCCAGTACATAATTTCCTAGAAGAAGATGGATATCGGATCTACTTAATTTGGCAGAAGTTTCGTGCGCTTTGCGAAACTACCCGATTGGTGCAAAAAATGGACAAGGTAGCATTAACTAACATTTTCAATCGTTACAATTCACAGTTTTGTTGTTCTATAGGTTGTAAATAGGCGACTAAGCGAGACGAGATCAATTAAAGGCAACTTCTATATCCAAGATATATTGAAGAAACAAGACGCAGACAAAGCTTATAATTGGTGGGACATGATACAGGACTATTTTAAGTAAGTTGATGTGTTATTGTCCAAATTTGCAAGTTGGTATCTAGGGGATTTTCCACAGTACCACTGATAAGTATACTGTTACTACTCTTAGCTTAATTACTCTCTCAATTCTTGAACAACGCTTAACATTTTTGATAATTACATGTATATTTTATTTTTGTTTCGGACGACTACTGGCAATTTCAGTTGATATAAAAACTGATTACACTTTTAAAACATCCTCCAACGTGCAATTACGAATATTAATTTATTTTCTGTTTTCAGATATATGGAAGGAAAGAAACGAACGGCTCTGGAGTCGTACAATTACAGCTACATGTACCCTGGCAATCCTGACTCTCCGAGCACTAGTTATATCGCCCCTGCAAGAATTTCGCACAACTTTAAACCTTTTTATGAATCCCTTTTTGCATGGTCACGCGACGATGAAATGGCTCGTTTATTCGATAGAGTGGAGACGGACTTTAACATTGCCGAGGTAAGAGAGGCTGTTTTCTTATGACTAAAAATATTTCTATTTTTTATTTGCATTATTTTAAAAATATGCATATAAGTTCACAGCCAATAGACGGTCCTTCATCTCAGCTTTTTTGACTTAGTACGTTTACGCCAATTTTTTTTTTGATTAAAATCTACAGTTTACAAATTTTTGCCAAGTTTTTGTATCATCGTTAAGGTAAATGTATCCAATATATATATGTATATACATATATTATACACCTGTTATGGACCACCCAAAGAAACTTTGTAAATTCTAAAGTTTCCCAGCAGTTTATATTGACAAGACAGTAGTTAACACTAGTACGTGTCTTAATAGGTCAAGCAATATAGATGAAAATAATATAGTCTGTACGCCATAACTTTAGTCGGACGTCATCAATCGTCTGTCGAGCGTTGTGGAGTGGTGGGGGACGCTGCTGGTTTAAGGGAAAAGTATACGCGCATTATAATTATTTGCAAAAAATTATGTCAGCATTTTTTTTTTGGTCTGAGGTATGTATGAACATAATCGACTTCCTCATGTTCATAGACCGCAGAATCAAAAGAGAATCAACGGAAGAGCCGCTGATATGCTCAAATAATGTTAATGGGCGTATACTTTTAACCTCAACCAGCAGCATCCGCCACCACTCGACTGCTTTTGTGCGCTGGGCCATTTTCACTCATATTCAAGACTATGTTTCACTCACTTAAGCGCAATTTATAGAAAAAAACAGAATATACGTTTTGTTGTTACTCATGTCTAGTTTCCAAATCCATATTTTAAATTTTAATCGGACAATCTCAGGAGCAAGCAGCACTCGGAACAAAAATCGCAAAAAAATTAAGATGGAAATTGTGCGAAACCTATTAATCCGACCTAGAGTACAGCTTTTGCACATATAAATGGCTTCCAGTGTGCAAAATTTGAGCTCTTAATATTTAAAAACGCTCAATTTTCCGAGTTTTTGCCGGTCGACCTAATTATCCGATCGACCTCTCATTCTCTTCGTAATTAAATTCGCTACAATTCAATCATTTATATCATTAAAATGGCTTCCACCGTTTCGATTTTACAAGCGTGAAACTAAAAAAAAAACCGGATTTTTTTGTTGAAAATTGTTTATAAAAAATTAACAAATAACACTTTGTTGTCCAAAACACACTGGGAATAAAGTACGTACTGCCCTGTACGTGATGGCGTAGATGGTTTTGTAATAGGATTTATATCAAGGACAATCCTTCTATTGCTTGCCCTATAAAGGCGCAGAAGGGCAGCGTCATTTTTAGCGTCCAGAAAGGTTTATGTATTTTAGCGCATGACATGAAGTTGATTTGTTCCAAATCGTGCCTGCACATTTTCAGGTACAAACCTGACATCCTGTTTTAAGCTTTTCTAGAACTTTCTTGATTAATTTGAAGTTTCCGTTTTTTAAAACAATTTTATTTCAAATTAATACAAATTTTACATGTAACCGACCGAATGACTTATGACTTACTATGACTGTGACTTATGTCTTTAGACTGAACTTTTTATAACTTAATTCTCGTAACGTAAAATCTTATTGACTGTCTCTAACGACTAAATGCTCGTTTCTGCTGTGGCTTCTTTTATACGAGAATCGTTTGATAAGTCAGTGACTATGAATTTCCGGCGCTACTTTCAACACTACTCCCGTCACCTGTCGTCTCTTAGTAGGCTGCTGTGCAATGTTGAGCATCCTACATCATTTGTTTCGTGTTTAACAGTCATTGAAGAGGAGATGACTTCGTCAATTTCGACGAAAATGGAAAAAAGTTAATTTCGAGTGCTGATCAAGCATTATTTTTTACGTATGGGGACTCTGCACTATCATTTCAATGGTGAAAACATGGTTTACTGAGTTTCGTTGTGGTCGTGCCAGCACAAAAGACGCAGAACGTTCAACTCGTCCAAAAGAGGTTGAGAAATGGTCGATTAAATCCATGGAACGATACTGGACGATCGGAGAATAAAAGTGCGTGAAGTCGCTGAGGCGTAGGCATCTCAACTCAGACGGTACATCACAACTTACATGAATATTCGGATATGAAAAAGTTATCCGCACGATTGCTAACAACCGACCATAAGGGGTCTCGTGTGACCATTTTAAACGAATGTTTAGCGATGTTCCGTCGCAATCCGAACGAGTTTTTGCAACGTTTCGTTACCGTTGACGAAACGTGGATCCATCACAACACACCAGATACTAAAGACCAATAAAAACAGTGGGTTTCTTTAGGTGAACGTGCACCAATTAAGGCCAAAATGGGTCTGCCGGCCAAAGTTTTTTTCGGATGCACGCGGTGTCATTCACATCGATTACCTTCAAAAGGGTAAAACGATCGCGCATATTCAGAGCTTTTGGCCAGATTCGATGTTGGCTTGGAGCTAAAACTGCCGCATTTGTTGAAAAAAAAACGGGCTGTTTCATCAGGACAATGCACGGGTGCACACGTGTGTAGTCGCCATGGCAAAAATCTATGAATTACTCTACGAAGTGCTACCCCACCCATCATATTCTCCAGATTTAGCCCTCTGCGACTATTTCCTGTTTCCAAACCTGAAGAAATGGCTGGGCGGTAAGAGATTTGGGTGCAATGAAGAGGTGATCATTGAAACAAACGCATATTTTGAGGATCTCGACAAATTATATCATTTGGAAGGGATAAGGAAATTGGAAAGACGCTGGACTAAGTGTACTGAGCTAAAAAGATAGAAACATTTTTTTCATTTAAAGTCACTGACTTATCAAACGATAACGTACTTAAATCATGCTCATCATAGCAGAAACGGTACTACGTTTTATTTTAAGAGACTAGGCGGCATAAGTGGCCATATAATCCTGGTCACATTTTTTTTGAATGGTGAGAATTTGGAGATATTTATTAAGAGATCAATTTACGTTATCTATAGTGATAGGAGGGTGTTTGAAAAGTCCGAGCAAAATCGTAGAGGCTACTACTGCTGCTTATCGAAGTTATTAGCAGTTAGTAGCATCTCTTGGAAGAACACACGCTAAGTTTCAGCCAGATCGGGTTATTCCTTTGTTTGGCGGTCGTTTGAACCGAAAAAGTCGAGATTTTATCAAAACATGGACGAAAAAGAATTTCGCGTGTTGATTAACACTACTTTGTGAAAGGAAAATCGCCTCATGACACTAAAGAGAAGATTGATGAATATTTTGGTGACTCTGCACCTTCAATTAGAACAGTTTCTAAGTTGTTTCAAATCATTGATGACAAGTGACGCTAAACGTGCTGGACGCTCTGTTTCAAATCATTGATCAAATCCATGATATGATGATGGATGACAGAAGAATGAAGGTGCGTGAGATTGCTGATGCTGTGGGCATATCGAATAAACGGGTACATAATATTTTACACCAACATTTGGACATGTAAAAGTTATCCTCAAGTTGATCCCGTTTGATCAAAATCCAAATCGTGTTAGGTGTTGCATGGACGGTTTACAGCTGTTGCAGCGGAATCCGTCGGACTTTAAACGTCGCTTCGTGACTGTGGATGAAACATGGATGCACCGCTACACTCATGAGACCAAAGAACAGTCCAAACAGTAGGTTGGTAAAGGGGAATCTGCACCAAAAACGGCAAAGACAGTTTCTTTGGCCGGGAATATTACGGTAACTGCCTTTTAGGATTTGGAAGGAGTAATATTCATTGGTTACGGAAAAGAGTAAAAGTATTACATGTTCATATTATTCATCGTTATTGAACCGTTTGCAAACCGAGCTGCAAGAGAAACGTCCACGATTAGCCAAGGAAAAAGTTCTTCTCCATCACGAGCTCACAACTCAGCAGTTGTGGCCGCAAAATTCAAGGAAGTAAGGTTCCAAGTCGTTCAGCATTCCCTATATTCTCCAGATTTGGCTGCCTCGGGCCATTACGTGTTCCACTGTCGACTACAGAAAGAACAAGCGGGAAAAAGATTTTCGTCCAACGAGAAGGTAATTGCAGAAACGAATGCCTATTTTACAGACTTGGACAAATCGTATTATTCGGACGGGATCAACAAACAACAGCATCGTTGGACGAACTGTATAAGTCTGTACTATCTGTAGTATCACTTTTTTAGCCTTAACTCAAAAACTACCAAACCAAATTGAGCTCAAACTTGTGGCGAAATGTGATTTAGACATCTTTTCTTTCACATACATTTTTTTCTCAAAAGTACGGATTTTCAGAGCGTAACAATGATTTCGATTTTAGGTTCACATGTAAAAATCGTAAATTTCTTAAACTTTAAACAATAAAACAACTGCAACAAACAGAAAACGACATCAACAAATTTATTAGGTTCGGCATTGATTTAGTTAACTAACTATACTCATAAGCTGCTCAACTGTGACCCGCTGAATCCATGCTTCTTGAATGGCTCTTCCAGCTGTTCGGTGCTGTACTGATGACAATCACCATAAACGTCACGCACCCCACAAGTTCTCGATAGGGTTTAAATCTGGCGATCGTGCAAGCCACTGTTGCTGGCAAGCATGCAAGCACTGCATAAAGGTCAGAGGCGGCTTGAAATCGTCGGAAATACGGCAAATGGTCTGTGAGCACTTGTTGGTATCTTAGGGAATTAATTCTTGCGTTCAAAAATTCTAAACTTGACTTGATGCTGATCGGCAAATCTCATAATGAAGATTAGGGGACTCTTCTAAAGACCCTCCAGACCGTTTCATGTGATACATTTGGGGCAAATTCTTTCCACAGCCGTCAGCTCACCAAAAAATTTTGACCTCGTCATTTAATACTTTTGCCTTTCTAGGCTCTAACAACGTGCAAATAACACGATAAAGCAAAAAAATCAGGTCAAAACATAATAAACTTTTTTAACAAGTGATCCAAGTCATAATTAAAATCAATGAGAAAATATCATTGCCATTTAAGCGAGTTCTCTTTTGGACTGTGGAAATTGTGGAAAAAACTGAAAATTCTAATAAAAGAGAAAACAGCATCAGTCGTCACATCTCCACAAATGTGGGAATTTTTGGAGAAAATGGCTTAGAAAAAAGATTTGAGCAATTGGAAAAAGGGAGGAAACGGAAGGAATAAGAGAATACAATTGCCAGGTCAGCTTCCATGGAATCTACGTTATCGGAAGATAGTCAGTACAGTGTGCACGAATCTGGGGAGTATGGTAAGAAGAATCAAGTGGGGAAAGCGACTCTGGTATTAACGAAATTTGTGACGTTAAAGAAGGAGACTTTGTTCTGGCCCGGATTGTACCGGCTAAAAGTAAAAGTGATGAGATTTAAGTCATGTGACCTGGATGTTTACAAACGTTTTAGTGCTCAAGAAGGTGACGAATCTGTGGTTAACTCCTGACGTCCAGATTATTGAAAGAAAGAAAGAAATTACTATAAGGGTAAATAAATTTAGTTGCGTTTAAGTATTCGTTGCGATACTAATTTTAAGCTGTTAATTTTAGAGTTATCTACTTAAGAAACCTTTTATTTTTACTAATTATTATCAAAAAATATTTAGTAAATAGGTAATTACCTAAAATCTCGCTTATTTATGAGCGTGTTAATTTCCTGTGATGTGCAAGTCATACGTAATATGTACTGAACAACCCTGATTTCTATGGTCTATGACTGGGTGGTCCACAACTGGAACTGGAAGAATGTTCATAATTGGTGTGTAGTACCAATAGAGATTTAGGCTAATTTACCTTAGGATCAGCTACCTTATTTGATTTCTTCGGTTTTTATTTAGCGAGAAATGAAGAACGGATACAAGTTTCCGGAAATTGACCTGACAGTGCGTCCAGACTATGTGGATCCGAATTTTGTGCCTCCAAAACCAAAACCTACTAATCATCGAGCTAGGCGAGCCTTGACTCAAAGACAAGTCACGTCAAACAAGATCAAGATGCTGCGAAGTTTGGTATGGTTGCTCTATTATGGTTTATGTTGCTTAATTATATCAAGTTGTCTTTTTTAGAGTACGATAGTGATTTCTGATTCAGATTCTGAAGATGACGATAATTTGCCGGCCTCTCATTCTAGCCGCTGTAATACATTGAACGGCGTAGTGCCACCCGTCGTCTTAGAGAAAAATGATCCAAAAGAAAAGTCCTCTGGATTAGCGGATGAACACAATTTAGAAAAAAATAAGTCCTATGAACAACCAACTCTTTTAAATAACAGTTCTACCCAGGAAACCTGTAACATATCAGATGAAAGTAGTCCTGGCTTTTTGGAAGAGCAGTCTGGTGCATTAATTGGCAGCCCCGTTGAAATTGATAAACAAGATGTAACTGCTCCTGGAAATAGCGCCGTGAATGATGGTATTTCCCACAAACCAAATGGGAACGTTTGCAATGAGCCGGACACTTGTGTGCACGAGGAAACATTATTAAATAGTACTTCAGATTTACCAAAACCCAGTTCAGTGGAAGTTAATAGTTTGGAGGATCACTTATCAACTAAGCAAGACACTTCTGACCAGAAGATCAATTCAAATGAGATTAAATCCAGCCAGTCAGRTGTAAACATTCTCTGTGTTTCGGAAGTGCAGATGGAGACTTCAATGGACTGTAATGTAAACGAATCGAACGATAAMGTTGCAATTAGGAGTGATTCCTGTGATWTGGAAACAAGYAGCAAGAACGCTCTGGATACAGTCGCAACCAATGATCCARGTGAGTGTCGTAGTCAATTTTTCGTTTTTGAAAATTTTGAGGCAGTATTAGAGGGAAATCATTGCMTTGGGGAACTGTTCTGTCTTGTGTAAAATCGGATGGCATTCAAAGGCTCCCTCCCTTAAGGTAATGTCACTGTCATCTAATTCTTCAGCTGCCGCCAATAATATATTATTTTATTTTGTCGATTCAATGTACAGGGTTATTGATTGAACTTTGGCCAGCCCGCTTTAACATCCAATTTGAAATTTAGAGAAAAATGTTGCATACAAAAGTTGTCAATATTAACGTCTAGTTTATTTTAAGATAATACCAATTGATACAGGGTGTCTCCTGTTCAAATGACAGAGCAAACTTACTTTTTTTAAATGAGATGCGTAAATTTCTTGGCCTATGCGATATAAATTGGTTTATTTCAACTGTTTTTGAGGTAATAACCAATATTGATTGAACTTTGGCCTTCCCGTTTATGCATCTAATTTGAAATTTAGAGCATTGATTTTTTATCAAGTGGCAGACCAAATTTACACTCGTTTCATATTTTCGTTGCTTCGGTTACCAATAGTAACAACTCCGAATTGTCAAATAGAATAGACATAATTTTATTAATTGAAGTGACTAGCGAAACAAAGTTGTGCTTTTTTTGCAAAGTCAGATAATTATGTCTTACACCCAGATAAAAACTTGGTCTTTATGAAATCCATATTCAATGGAATTACAATAAAAACGTGCCAAAGCGAAATATACAGAAAGATTTGATGAACAGAGAGTTATTCCAAGTATAAATCAATTTCTATATATACAGGGTGTCCCTATAAGGGTAAAGAGCGGATGTGTCTCGACAAGGGTAAGGAATAGCGATTTGCGAAAAAATAAAGTAAAGTTTGCTTTAAAAATGGATGGAAAATGTATTGGCCGCTAGGGGGCGTAACTTCTACCACAAAACAAAAAAGTCTTGGTATCTCGGAAAATGGACAGATGAGCTATCACTTTAAAAACGTCATTTTGGAGCTTGGGTAATACAGCATCGTTTATCTCTGACATTTTTTGTATTTTTCATAATAAAAGAATGGGGAGTCCTTGCTTTTCAATGCTTTCATTTTAATATCTCCTCAAGAGGTCTTTGCCATCTTGAGTTCTGCTCCAGCACTGCGAAGGCCTGTTCTGCCTCACTACGAAATTCAATATATTTTTCAGCCATTCTTTATGCCAGCTTTACTCATAAGGATTTTTTCTCCAAACCGCTAGTTCTTACCGTTGTCGAGATACAGCCGCTCTTTGCCCTTATCGGAACACCGTGTATATATGGTATACAGGGCGTCCGGAAAAGGTGCGACCAAGACTTAACGAGCCAACTCTACAGCAAAAATGAGTGACACGTTTTTATAACACTTTTGCGAAAACTATAAAATCAATAATAACGGACCTACAGCGCGCTAAAGTTGATTAAATTTTTTTTTTTTATATCTTTTTTGTTGGTTATGCGATTGTTTTCTAATTTGGCATACTCATTACTCTTGATCATTTGTATTATTGTTCAAAAGTTGACATTTATTCGTTAATGCTGAAGGGTTGTCACCCATGTCATCTACGTAATAACCTATATATTTTTATTTTTCGCCTTTTGTTGTGTATGATTTCAAAAAATTAAAGAATGTTCAAAATTGCGTAAAAAAGGTTGCCTTGTCACATCTCTCTAAAATGAGCCGCTGACGAGAAAATCTACTTTTAAAAATTGTCTTGAACGGCACGCAAAATTGTAAGCACGTCAAATTATTTCCAGCGTTTTAACAGAGCGTGCCAGGGAAAAAAGTGTTTTCTTATAGCAACGGAGGCATCTGTACAAACAATTTTGACAGATTGTAAAGTATAAAAGTAAATGTTAATCCTCTGTCGATTATACATTTTGCCTTAAAAATTTCAAATATTCCAATGTTGACTTACGTGACATGCATTACTGTTATGGTGTAGCTGGGGACAATGTATCTGCGGCAAGGCGTGTGTTTATAATAATAATAAAGGATATTCCATCAAGTACGCCCTATTTTGTTTAGGACATAAAACACATTATTTATTTACAAAATATCGAAACTTTCCTCCGCGGAATCGCTGGCAGGAATTAATTCGTTGAACCCACTTTTCCATGACCCTTTCACACAAATCAGGTTGTATGACAGCAATTACTCGTTGATTAGTGCTCTGTAAAACGTATAAATTGGCTGGATGGTTGTTGTAAACCAATGACTTTATGTAGCTCCAAAGAAAGAAGTCCAATGGAGTTAAATCGCAGGAACGAGGAGGATAATTGATCGGCCCGTTTATTGAAATAATCGAATCAGCAATTTGTCATGGCAGTTGCACCGTCTTGCTGAAACCACATGTTCTCTAAATCAAGACGAACCAGTTATAGCCTGTTGAGCTTCGTTGAAAAAAATATGGAGCATAAAATTCACACCACGCATTCAGTTTTTCAGGGTGTTGTGGCAGTTCTTAATATTCTTCCGGTTTGTCGCCACTCCAGACCCGACAATTCTGCTTGTTCACATAGCTGTTTAATCAGAAATAAGCTTCATCGCTGAGAATAATTTTCTTAAGAAAATCTGGATAATTTTCGATTTTTTCTAAGCACCAATTACTGAATTCACGTCTCTTTAAATGATCTGTTGCTTTGCGTTCTTGGGTGATACCGATTTTGTATGGACGTAATTCATACAATAGTTCTTGTGAACACGAACATTCAGGTACAGCGGCAATATGTGTTCCACCGCTTGCAGATCTTTGTCTCACTGGCACTGTAACATCATGGACTGGAAATTTTGTTTCGAACTTTATCACTAAATGTTCGATTGTTCTTTTATCTGGACGGTTGAACGACCAAAAATTGGAGTAAATGCACGTAAAGTTTGCGTAACAGAACGCGATTTCTGATAATAAATTTGGATTATTTGTAAACGTTGTTGAAGTGTGAGCCTTTTCATGATTAAATGGTAGACATTTACAAATATCAATGTCACAATTTAAAAAATGCCGCCGTGCATGAGAAGTGCCAATTTAAAAATGGGGCGTTTCCAATAAAAGGCTCTTTAAAAGGATTCCACGACGGCGACTGTTTAGCGCCATCCACACTAGGCTTGGACAATTTGGATCCCTTAAAGCAATACTTTTTGATGTAGGTCGTCAGAGACAAACACGGACACCTCCAGTTGAAAATCGTAATTTACTCGCATTAAACTCCATTGAGAATAACCCAAATCTTAGTGTAAGATCTATTAGTGCTCAGGAAAATGTTTCAAAAAGTTCGGGCGCGAGGTGTTAAAGAAACAACAACCTCATCCGTTTTATTATCAGAAGGTTCAGGCTTTAAGTGAAGAAAATCCCTTGGTTTCTGCGCATATGTGTAAAAGAATCTTATCTCCATATTGGCGTTGAAATGTTTTACAATGTTTGCTAGTTACGGATGAAGCGGGATTCGGGCATGACGGTTTAATCAATCTACATAATGACCATGAATGGGCTTCTGAAAATACTTATGCCACTGTAGAAAGTAATTTTCAATTTAATTGGGCCGCATTTTCTGCTTCTTACACTCAATAGTGAGTCATACTTAAATCTTAAGAAATCAATTGCCTATTATTTTGGAAGATGACCCTTCAAGTTCGAAATTCAATGTGGTTATTACAAGATGGGGCTTCTCTACATTATGGCGTAGGTCTTTTATAATTCTTGAATGAAACATATCCTGAAAGATGGATACGACGCGCTGGGTTTGTAGAATGGCCTCCCAGATCTCCTGACTTAAATCCCATGGATTTTTTCTTTTGGGGTATCTAAAAACGTTCGTATACCGCACTCCAGTACGCCGCCCTCCCGAATTGCGGCAGAGAATTAGTGGCAAGTGTGAAGAAATTAAACAAACGGATGGAATATTTTATAGGATTTGTCGCATTTTTTTGAGAAGCCTTAATTCGTGCATTGAGGAGAATGGACAACACTTTGAAAATTTGGTATGGACATTTAAAAAGTCTATTACAAAATCTAATAATACTTAATACTATATTAAATATTTAATAAAATAATAATTATTTCTAAGTGCACTTGTTTCCATGGCACGCTCTGTTAAAACGATGGAAATAATTTGACGGGCGTTATTACTTACGCCGTGCAAAAGCATACACAACAAAAAGTTGAAAATAAAAACGTATAGGTTATTAAGAAGATGACATGGGTGAGTTCAACCCATTAGCATTAGCAAATCAATCTTAACTTTTGAACAATAATACAAATGATCATAAGTAATAAGTGTGCAAAATTTGAAAACAATCGGATAACCAACCAAAAAGTTCATTCAAAAACATATTTTTTTATTTAACTTGAACGCCCTGTATATTTATTGAGTTTTAGCAAAAGTGTTATAGAAACTTGTCACACTCATTTTTGCTGTAAATTTGCCTCGTTAAGTGTTGGTCGCACCTTTTCCGGACACCCTGTATTTTCTAAATCAGGAAAAAATTGCGCTGTTTAAACATGTAATGATGTACCATTGCCAATAATTGATAAACTGTCAACTTTGGATATTTGGACACAAGAAACAAAACATAAACTTTTTATTTTAACACATTTTCAAATAATCGCTGCCTGCAGTGCGGTGCTAAAATATACAGGAAAATGTTGGTTAAACACCTGGTGTACAAATGACAATGGTGGCTCTGATACTAATTATTGTAAATATATTCTGATCCATAAAGAACTATGTAAAAATAGCCGAATTGAGTTTCTTTATGTAATCATTATGTTCAAACTGCAATTTAAGGTTCTTTCACTTTCAGAAGTCCGTGATGACATCGCTGGGAAAACACATTCAGATGATAGTACAGTCCTAAACATTACTCACACAGAGAGCAGCATTACTGTTCCAATGCCGAGTGTTGATGAGCACCAAAGTAGTGAACATTTCGAGACGTCGGTTTCTCAAGTTTCACATTTGGAGCCGTCTTCCGATTCCCATGAGGTCGACTTTACCCGACCCCCGATAGTTGGCGAGAACCAGCAGGAATTATGCAACAATTCCATGCAGGAAACAAGCGATTATGCTTATGATTGCGGTCAGGAGCCATGCACCGAAGATAATACCAGCCGTGATGGCTGTGTTTTATCTGATGAATGTCCACAGAAAATGAATTCAGACGTAAATCTTGAGTGCATCAAGCAAGATCGTAAGGAATCGAATCAATCTAGGACACAAAAGACAAGTAATTATGATGGCAGTGTGGATACAATTCGAAGTAACGTTACATGCTTGCCCAAAACTTCAAATGAAGGAGATTTACAATCCGAAGTCAATTCAGATGATTTGGGTGACACTGAAGTAAGTTTTCTCAAAATTTGTTGAAATGATCCAATTTTTTAAATTCGCCGTTTATGAATAAAAATTTGACATGACAAAGAGACGCAGTCTCTAATAATATAATTAATATATTTATTATTATTGATAATTTGTTATTAGGGACAAATAGATTCAAATTAATACTTCGTCAACCTCAACAATCTATACCGTCAAGAATCTATTATTATTGATCATTTGTGTCAACCATAAAGTGAGGCTCATAGAAGATTAATAATAAAAGTTCTACAGTACAAGCAATTGAAAACTTTACATTCTTATTGCAATTAATGATGGTTAAGCGGCAATACAATTACTTAATGAAAAAAACGTGGAAAATCTTGCTGAGGTTCCAACTTCCAAATTTACGCCAAAACACTGGAAGCGGTGAATGGGAATACAGTTTATCGGTTGAAAACGGTTTTTTGCAATTTGCGGCGAAACGTTGAATGGCAGAGGTGTAGAAAAAATCAAAAACTTTTGTATTTCACACTTTCTGACATAAACGCAAATTAATCGTAAAAATGGCAAAAAAACGATGTTTCAGTATTTAATTTTTTTCTGGCGCATAAATGTTTTAATTTACATGACAATTTATAAAATTACGTTTTTTTTGGTGCTGAATAAGCGTGATTTTTTCGTAGTTCAGAAGGCGGCTAGTTTTAGAGTTATGAATATTAAAAAAAACCCTTATCCAAAAATGCTGTTTATAATATTTTGAAAGAGCAGTTACTTCACCCGTATCATGTGCAATATGTGCAAAGTGTTGGCCACCAGGATCACCCGATTTAACGCCGACTACATTTGTTTTCTGTGTGGCTCTCTTAAATCAAAAGTAAATGCTTTGCCCGTCGCTGCAGAAGCCGAGTTACTGGAAAGAATTTTCAGTGCTGCAGATTATTTTAAAAACAAGCCAAAAGTATTACTTTGTGTATTCGGGAAAACGGCCAACACTTTGAACATTTGTTAAAAAATTAAATAAGTTCAGTTATTCAGAATTAATACTTTATGTTTTTTTTCATTCCGAATAATGAAAAATTTGAATTGTATGATAAATTGGTAACATATTGGTATGGTAAATAATTTTTTGCACCGGAACAGTAGGTCCGATGAAAATTACAAAAATGATAAATACAATAAAATTTCCACGCATCATAAATCGCAAAAATAATCCGGTTTACGTCATTTTTTGAATTTGGTTTGGTTGCTCTATTGTTGTTTATGTTGCTGCTTAATTATATCAAGTTGTCTTTTTTAGAGTTCGTTGTTGGCTTCTGATTCAGATGCTGAAGATGGCGATAATTTGCCTGTCTCTCATTCTATCCGCTGTAACACATTGAACGGCGTAGTGCAACCCGTCATCTTAGCCAAAAATGATCCAAAAGAATATAACTCCTCCGACTTGGCGGAAGAACACAATTTAGAAAAAAATAAGTCATATGAACAACCTACTCTTTTAAATAACGGTTCGACCCAGGAAACCTGTAACATATCAGATGAAAGTAGTCCTGGCTTTTTGGAAGAGCAGTCTGGTGCATTAATTGGCAGCCCCGTTGAAATTGATAAACAAGATGTAACTGCTCCTGGAAATAGCGCCGTGAATGATGGTATTTCCCACAAACCAAATGGGAACGTTTGCAATGAGCCGGACACTTGTGTGCACGAGGAAACATTATTAAATAGTACTTCAGATTTACCAAAACCCAGTTCAGTGGAAGTTAACAGTTGGGATGGACACTTATCAAATAAACAGGAAACTTCTGATCAGAAGATCAATTCAAATGAGATTAAATCCAGCATGTCAGATGTAAATATTCCCTTTGTTTCGGAAGCACCGATGCAGACTTCAATGGACTGTAATGTAAACGAGTTGAACGATAAAGTTGCAATTAGGAGTGAATCATGTGATTTGGAAGCAAGTAAGAAATATGCTCTGGATACAGTCGCAATCAATGATCTAGGTGAGTGTAATAGTAAATTTTTCGTTTTTGTTGAAATATTTAAGCCTGTATTAGAGGCAAATGATATAGGCTCCCTTAAAGTCATATCACTATCGTGTCGTTCCTCTGGAGGTGTTGTCTGGCGGTGTTTTACGAGTATAGAAAAATAATTAAAAACATTAATAGGTATTAAAAACTGAAAACATTGCAAAAAAATATATTAGAAAAACGACACCAATGTTTTTCAAAGTAATCTGGCTAATTCACATTACGTAAATACCTGTTGCTTCGTAATTATTTAAAACTCCGGTAGCCATGGATAAATAGAAGATAGAAAAAACTCAACAGGAATCGTTGAATGACGGAACGTACTTTTTTGAAATGTCAATTATTGTCCTCATAACCTCGAATTATTAATTTGTATACAAATACAAATAAACACACATTTGAGTCTTTAGCTCCAAACAAGTGCCTGTGGAATCACCTTATTATGCACTCTTCTCGAGCAGCTTCTTGTATTCGGTTAATTAACTCCTGCTCAATTTATCCCGATGCTCAGTTCCATTGGTTTAATGTGATCTTACATGCGTGGTAGGAATGTAGCCGGTGTTCATTTGGTGCCTGGGAAAGTGTCAGTGGTTGTGCAATGTTCCGAGTGCCCCTGAAAGGCTCTTCTGCAATTATGTCCAAGACTTGTTTCTGCGAAGTGTGAAAATCCGTATCTGATATGGAGATCAATCAATTCTTATCTTGGACACCTTGTAGATGTGTTATGTTTTATACGCGCGTTTTTGAACCTTGAGTTCTCACAGATTTTTTTTTTATTAATGTGCATTAATACGTCAACTGAATCAAGAAGCAATTGGGACCCAATTGAAGTTATCTATTTGTGAAGATATTTTCACTACAATAGCTGAATATCGCTCCCAGTTTTAGAAGTGGGATTGTGCCTGGAAACCAGTAATCTTAATGATAAGTTCACTTTACCTATAAAGCACATTCATCGATTTTTATACCAATCGTCTATATGCGTCTTGGTGCGGTGTCCACTCAAGGATCCTCTTTGTCCGGCGATTGTTCGAAAATCGCGACACATGACCGGCCCAGTTCCATTTTAAGGTTGTGTTACGGGTAACCGACTCAATCACTCCGGGCCTTTCCCTTTATATTATATTTGGGATCCTGTCTCTTACCGATATACCTAACATCGACCTCTCCATTTTCCCCTGCGCGATGTTTATTCTTTTTGCAGTGTTCTTTGTGAGGGTAAGTGTTTCAGCCCCGTACGTAGGCCCATATTGGGATGTCTGACTTAAAGATATTGCGCAGCTTTCCAAAGGCCACCCATGTTAGGCCTATTCTCCTCGTTATTTCACGGGTTTGGTTGCTCTGCCAATAGAGATTTCGTGACCAAGGTATTTATAATAGCTTACTTGCTCCATGCTGCCTCCGCCTATCTTGTTGCCTCACTCATAACAAGCTTTGTCTTGTATTGAGTTTTGCTGGTGTTGATTTTGAGTCCAACAGAGGTGGTCGGTACTTCCCTGAGCCCCCATAGATTTAGTTATTCGCCATCTACGGTTAGGACCATGTTTTCAAAGTTGGCGCCTGTTTGCTAATATATTCTAGTAGAGTTGTGAATAACTGTGATGATATGGCGTCTCCTTGGCGTACAGCTCGTGCCATATCAAAGTGTTGGTGATCATCCTGGAGCTTAACATAAACTGTTGCTCTTTGGTACACGTGTTTGATTCCCTCGATATATCTGTATTCGATACGGCAAGAGATTCAGCAAAAACTTGTAGCATTTTCTGCTAGTTTATTGTGTCGAAGGTCTTTTCGTAATCGGCAAAAATTAAGCAGAGGGATTTATTATATTCGATATTTTCCGATAACGGACTTGACTCTTTGTAGATGGTCATTTGTGCCAAGTCCGCCAAATAGTTTGGGGGTTATTTGATAACGTTCTGGTATTTAGAGAAGCGATGGTCAGTTTTCGGCTTTGCTAGTTTATCCTGTACCGGAGATTCTTCGCACCCTCTGCTCGCCTCCTTGGTCGAGAGTAAGCGAGCTGCCGGGGACTGAGGGATGGCCGTGTATTCTGATGTTCTCTCATTACGGGAGTTGAGAATTAACTTCCTTAGGTCTCTGTTGTAATAGTTATGCCTCCATGAGTCTGTCGTCAGAGCCTCTTTGGGCAACAGTGCCACCTGATAAATACAGTGGAGCCAGGTACCGATTGTAACTTGATCATGGCTTTTAATGCACATTTATTAACTTTCTTTGAATCTTTGAGAGCTCTTGGTTTTAAAACGAGCGGATAAACTATAACACATACATATATTTTCAGGATCTTAAGAAAATTGCGCTGTTCAAACATGTAATGCATGATTGCCAAAGATTGGTAAACTGTCAACATTGGATATTTTCAGAAATATTTTCCATTTTCTGAACAAAAGTTCTGTTAATACAGGAAAATGTTATAAAACTTTTATTTCAACAACTTTTCAAATACGCCCTGCAGTAGGGTGTTAAAATATACATGAAAACGTTGCACCGACACTAGGCCTAGGTAACACTGTGTTGAATTGCACTTTTGAGTTGTTACCGCTCTCTAAGTTAACGAGTTATAACTGACTGGAATTTTAACATCTTCAAAAAAAGATCATCTATATTTTCGGGGCAACAGAATCAAGTCCAAACCGTAAAGACGACGAGTTTTCTTGTAAAATCGATCTATTAATGTTTTGAATAAAATACTCAGTTTACCAGTATTTTACAGTAAAAAGTACGGAAAACGCGATTTTTGTATTTAGAAACAGTGTTGTGTAGAAATATTGACCTAAAAGTGAAGAAACCCCAAGATTTTCCCAAATAAATGATTAAAACTTTCGATTTTTCTGTTCGGGGAAATGCTTCGGAAAAAAACAAAAAAAATGATTTGGGTTTTGTTCAAAATTCGAAGCCGCAAACGATTTTCCAAAAATGTTTGCAAAGCGGTTAAGGAGGACTGTTCCAATAAAATTTGTCTTATAATTTTTCACAGAAAATACCTGAATATTGTCAGTATTTTTATGCCAAACTGAAAACTTTGCTAAAACTGGAGCGATGAGGTCGACAAATTTTCCAAATAATTATTGGTAACGTTTTGCTCTGGTCGATTTTTTTTGTAATTTAAGATAATCTTAATTACTTTCGGTGCAAAACTAAATAAAATTATTTGGTTTCTGAGCCAAATTCGAAGCTGAAAAGCGGTTTCTTTTTGGCTGAAAAGACCCTATTATTCAGAGAAGAAGAAAATTGTCAGAAAATAATGTTTTTTTTGCCTTTTTGATTAAAAACTTTCAGTTTTGTGATTGATTTTTGAAAAACCCTTAATGATTTTCGGGGAGAAACGGGATAAATTTATATTTCATTTTTGCCCTAAATTCGGCTCTGAAAAAAGTTTTTGTAAAATTCCTACAAAGCTGTAAATTTATATTGTAATTTTTCTTGAAAAAGACCTCCAGACCGTCAGTACTTTTATGTGAAACTCTACAAAATAGAGCATTTTTGAGTAGAAAGTAAAGCAAAAAAAATTCATTCAAAACCCGTTTTGTCCCGAATTCGACACTGAAAAAGTTTTGGTAAATTTTTTACAAAGCTATGAATTTATTTTGTAATTTTCCTACGCGTAACAGTCCTCCAGATCGTCAGTATTTTCAAGTAAAACTCTACAAAATTGAGTTTTTGGAGCAGAAAGTAAAGCAAAAAAAAATCAGTCAAAACTACAAAACCACATTTTTTAACAAACCCTACAATCTTCAGAGAAATGGGGTTGACGAGTTTTCCAAATAATTTATTATAAACTTTCCCTTATTCTGTTCGTTTTTTGATTTGTGTCCAAATTTGAAGCTGGAAAGGGATTTCAAAACTTTTTTCAAAGCGACGAACGAGGCGAGTTCTAATAAAATGTATTTCATAATTTTTCGAGGAAAATATCCAAAGATTGTCACTATTTTTAAGTGAAACTTTAGAAAATTGAGAGTTTAGAAGGTTGAGGGACTTTGCAAAAACTGAAATTTTAAAGAAACTTTAATATTATTAACAAATGGCCCTCAAAATAAGTCTAAAAACAACTAAAAAAGGTCATCAACATTTTGCCAGCAATCGAACTGAGGCACTGCGCCGGTGCGTTAAGTTGGCGCACCATGCCATCTGCGTAGCGCTGCGCCAACTCCTAAAAATTCACTGAGGCCTAACCGACACCTTATGAGAAACCTTATGAGGTGGTTATGACAGCTCTGATACTCACTATTCTAAATATATTCTGATCTGTAAAAAGCAAAGTAAATATAGTTGATTCAATTGCCTTATGTAATCACTGTATGTTCGACCTGCAACTTAAGGTTCTTTCAGTTTCAGAAGTCCGTCCTAACATCGCTGGGAAAACACATTCCGATGATAGTACCGTCCTAAAAATGACTCACACAGAGAGCAGCATGACAGTTCCAATGCTCAGTGTTACTGACTACCAAAGTGGTAAATATTTCGGGACGACGGTTCCTCAAGTTTCACACTTGGAACCGTCTTCTGATTTCCTTAATTTCGACTTTATCCGATCTGCGTTAGTTGGCGTGAACCAGCAGAAATTATGCATCAATTCCATACGGGAAGCAAGCTATTATGCTTGTGCATACGATCAGGAGCAATGCACCAAAGACAATACCGGCCGCGATGGCTCTGCTTTATCTGATGAACGTCCACAGGAAATGAATCTTGAGTACATCAAGCAAAATCGTAAAAGATCGAAACAATCTAGGAAACGAAAGGCAAGTTATTGTGATGACACTGTGGATACAAAACGAAGGCGAGAAACGAGAAACGTTATATCGTGGCCGAAACCTTTAAATGAAGGAGATGTACGGTTCAGAGTCAATTCAGACGATTTGAGTGAGGTAAGTTTCACAAAATTAGTTGAAACCATCCAAGTTTTTAAATTCGCCGTTTATGAATAAAAATTTGACATGACAAAAAAAAACGCAGTCTCTAATAATATAATTAATATATTTATTATTATTGATAATTTGTTATTAGGGACAAATAGATTCAAATTAATACTTCGTCAACCATAAACTGAGGCTCATAGTAGATTGGTAATAAAAGTTCTACAGTACAAGCAATTAAAAACTTGGCATTCCTTATGCTAATTAATGGCGGTTAAACGGCTGAACAAAAACGAAACAAGAGCCATTTCGGACCCGGAGCGTTTTAAATTAAAAAAAAAAAAAGGAAAACTTTTGGACACGTCAATTTCCATTGTCAAGGGACTCGTTTTCAAAATATAATGCAACCCGTAAAGGCTAGTGTCGTTACGAATTTGTTATACTTAATGGAAAAATTGATAACAGGCAAGGACTACGTGGAAAATGTTGCTGAGGTTCCAACTTCGAAATTTACGCGAAAACACTGGACGTGGTAAAACATCCCCATTTTCACAGTTTAGGGGTTGAAAGCGGTTTTTCTCGATTAGCGGCGAAACGTGTGTTAGGCGTATGTCAAAAAGTGTTAGATACAAAAATTTAAAAATTTTGTATCTAACACTTTTTGACATAACCTCAAATTAAATAACAGGGACATCTGACGCATGTGTTGGAAAACGTGCAAAACATCTTCATTTTTAAGAATGAGCGTGATTTTAAAATTACAAATAACTCTTTGGGCATTAAACTTTTATTGCATAACACCAACAGCATTGTAAACTCAAAACCCAAAAATTATTTGCAAAAAAAATTAAATTTTGAATTTGGCAATAAGGCTTAAGACAAACAGCACCTGTCATCTTTTTATTTTGATTAATTCCTTTACATAGAGCAGGGATCGGCAACTTGCGGCTCTTTGGATGTGAAAAGAAAAATTTATGTGATCGAACATGTTTTATTTAGTGACGCTAAGGGCCCAAAATGACTGTCGTTTCATTTTCGTTTTGCCACTTGGTATTCTTGAGAAGTTTAAAATGTTAAGAGAAAAAATAATTATCTAATTTGAGATTATCTTTTGAAATAATTGTTTTGAAAACCGACTAACATTTTAAAGACACCAAGAAATTAATTATCTTTGGAAAATAAAACCCTTGACTGATTCCTACAGAAGTCTTCTGATGCGTCCATCGAAATTGCATCGCCACCATACGAAACGCTGGACAAGGACAATGTGAAATCGCATTTTGAAGCGAGGATGAAACTGCAAACACTAGCTGCTTGGAAATATCGGGAACTAGGTATTAATTTAAAATTAAGCACTGCGCTGATGTAATCAAATTGCATTTTATTTAGCTTCGTCGTCACTTTTAACTACTGCAGATGACATGCCATCGTCAGCTGTTGGTTCTAGCCATTACGAATGTCCGGTCGATCTCAGCAACACGGGCAGATCTAGGATTGACCATCACGCAAAAAAATGTCCAGACGTACCAGATAAAAGTAAGTTTTTTTTATTTGAACTATTTTTATTAATTAGTGTGTGTACTAATTATGGCCGTTTAGTATATGCATGCTGATTCAAAATTGGCGTCATTCCTCTGGCGGTATTTTAGGGGTCCAGAAAAAAATAATTAAAGAAAATTATTGTTATTAAAAACTGAGAAATTTGCAAGAAACTATATTAGAAAGACGGCAGCAATGTTTGTCAAGGTAATCTGCCTAATTAACATTACGTAAATACATGTGGCTTCGTAATTATTACATACTCCGGTAACCATGGAATTATACAGAAAGTGACAGTAAAATAGGCAAGGATAAGTGGTAAATTCAACAGGCATCGTTTAATGACGGAATGTACTTTTTCGAAATGTCAATTATTGTCCTCATAACCTCGAATTATTAATTTGTATACAAATACAAATAAACACACATTTGGGTCTTTAACTCCAAACAAGCGCCTGTGGAATCACCTTATTATGCACTCTTCTCGAGCAGCTTCTCGTATTCGGTTAATTAACTCCTGCTCAATTTGTACCGGTGTTCAGTAAGCGATTCGTTTAATATGCCCTTGTTCTCTGTTTATCTTTCATACGTGGTAGGAATGTAGCCCTTCCTCGGTATTTATTTGGTGCCTGGGAAAGTGTCAGGCATTGTGCAATGCTCTGAGTACCCCTGGAAGGCTCTTTTGCAATTATGTCCAATACTTGTTCCTCTGTGTATGGAACCCGACATCTATTGTCGTCCACTATCTTCCTGGAGCCAATCTCCAGTATCTCTAGCCCTTTGTTGGCGTGAGTTCTTACAGCTTCTGCTATGTTACTGTGGCATTGCCCCAGAACTAATCGCATATCCGCAAATTCGTGAAAAGAGGTTCAAAGTAAGTCACAGATTGACAAATTATTGTTTTTATTGACAAGGAGTAACTGGGTTGGAATTCGATTTTCAATTCTTAATATCTTCTAGAAATTATCGAAAAAAATCAGACTATGAAGGCTTTCACGGCCGGTCAGATTACATTTAAAAATGTTTTCCGGGCTTTGAAGCCGTGGTCTATCGGAATTTCTTCCTGACGTTTCGTCCACAACTGCGGTGGACATTTTCAAAGGCGATGAAGCAGTGGGCGAAGTGATCTCCCGTGCTTTCCGACTAAGAATGATTCAACTGCTGGATTCCCAGTCGTATTTATGCCGCCCAGCCGTGTCTGCTCATGCGTGGGAGATGGGTGGGGGTTCGAACGCTTCGGCGCACATGCTGTTTGGCGCAAAACGCGCTTCAAATCTGGATTGAGTGCCGTAATTTCTTCTTTTCTGTTGAAATTGTTTTGGTGTTTAAATATTTCGATGGCCTCCCTGGTGAGTTTCGGGTAGTATCTTTCAGATTGGTGCAGAATGTCAACTTCGTCGAAGCGTATTTGGTGGCCGTCTAGTAGTGCGTGCTCCGCTACTGCTGATTTTT